ATTTAATTTTTTTTTTATCGATTTTTTTTTAATGAAATTTAGGACAAATTTTAATTGTTTTGGGTTTTAAAAATTTATCCAAATTTCCAATTTGTGAAAATTTTTAATTACTTTTAGTTTCAAATTATCCGAATTTTGAATTTTGTTTAAATTTTAATTGATTTTATTTTGAAATTATTTGAATTTTAGTTTATCCAAATTTTGATTATTTTTAGTTTCAAATTATTAGAATTTCAGTTTTTCCAAATTTTGATTGTTTTCAGTTTCAAATTATCCGAATTTCAATTTTTTCAAATTTTGATTGATTTTATTTTCAAATTATCCGAATTATAATTTTTCCAAAATTTTGATTGTTTTTAGTTTCAAATTATCCGAATTATAATTTTTCCAAATTTTGATTATTTTTAGTTTCAAATTATTAGAATTTCAGTTTTTCCAAATTTTGATTGTTTTTAGTTTCAAATTATCCAAATTCCGAATTTTATTTAAATTTTAATTGATTTTATTTTGAAATTATTCGAATTTCAGTTTTTCCAAATTTTGATTGTTTTTAGTTTCAAATTATCCGAATTATAATTTTTCCAAATTTTGATTCTTTTAGTTTCAAATTTATCAAACATTTTATTTGTTCAAATTTTCATTGATTTAAATTTGAATTTATCCAAAATTTTATTTGTTCAAATTTTCATTGATTTAAATTTGAATTTATCCAAAATTTTATTTGTTCAAATTTTCATTGATTTAAATTTGAATTTATCTAAAATTTTATTTATTCAAATTTTTATTGATTTAATTTTGAATTTATCAAAAATTTTGATTGATTAAAATTTGAATTTATTGAAAATTTAATTTACCCAATTTTTTTTTTTAAAACTATTAAATACAGTGGAATATTTTTTTTTTACATACTAAAAAAAAAAAATTGCAATTGAGTGAATTTTTTTCTAAAAAAAAAAAAAAAAAAAAAAATTCTCCTAAATTGAAAAAAAAAAATGAATCGTACGTGGAATTTGAGGAATTTACTTTGTGAGCAAAAACTTATTGAACAGAGATAAAAAAAAAAAAAAGAGAGAGAGAGAGAGAGAGAACTAACGAGAGTGAGTGACAATTCATCGACTATTTAAAGTGTTGTCATTTAATTTATTGATATGCTGTTTACATTTGTCAAGAAGACGATTTCTGCAATGCGTGTATTTATTTATAGAAAATTCCTGATTATATTTAGAAAATTCGTGAATAAATGTGGGGGTTGAGTTTTTGAGAAGAAAAATTATTGGTGACAAAAAGATATCATCGCTTCCTCGCTAATAAAATAGCCATTCTTTTGCCAGTCAATTCTTATATCTTCAATCTCGTGACTCAGACTTTGTAACACTCACACATATATATAAATTTAACATAAACATATAGAGAAAATGCAAAATTCAATATATTTCAAAAATTAATGGTTTTTTTTTTTTTTTTGTTAAATTTTCTAAAATTAAAAAATGAGGAAATTTTGTATATTTTTTTGTTTTGTTAATTAATTTGTAAGATTTTTTTTATATATATTACATTTTTTCAATTAATTAATAAATAAAATTAGATATAAATAAATTAATAATTTTTTTTTAAATTTTAATCTTTAATTTTTTTCTATTTTATTTATTTATATTTTTTTTATTTTATAATTTTTGATATCTATTTTTTTGTAATAATTAATTTTCCTTAATTTTTCCACTTATTTATTTTTTTATTTAGATAAAAATAAATATTAAAATTATTCTTAAAAAATTAATCAATATAATAAAATAATTAAATTAATTTTTTTTTGTTATTTAGCAAATTTATAATTTTTAAGTTTATTTATTTATAATTGTAAACGGACTTAAAAATAGATAAAAAATTACAATTTATTTATTTTTATGTCCCGTTAATGAATAATTAAATAAATAAATAAAAAAAAATTTATTTTTTTAATTGAAATAAAAAAATGCAATTTTAATAACAAATTAATGAAATAATATTTAATAATATAATTAATTGAATGAAATTTTTTTTTTCTTTTCTATTTATTAATTTGCTGGATTTTTAGAAATTTAAAAGAAAAAAATTTTTATTTTTTTTTTATTATAACGTGATCTAATTTTATTTTGTGGTTGAAATTCAGATTTTTTTGGAATTAAAATAAGAAATTTATATATATATATTTTATTTAAAAATAGATAACGAAAATTTATTATTAAATTTTATCTAGTCTATTTATTCAATTTCAAATCTATTTTTAATTATAAGTTTTTTTTTATTTCTTTTATATAACTTTCTTACATTTACTTTTGTGATTTTAATAATTATAAATATATTATTATAATATACAATTAAAATCTATAATTATAAATTATTAATTAATTGTATTTGGAAATTTTATTTTTCGATTTTAAAATTTTCATTATTAATTAATTTTTAATATAAATAATTAACAATTATAATAATAATGATAATAAATTTTTTAATTTTAGTAATAATAAAGTTCTATTTATTAACAAATAAGAACGTATACATTTGTTTGGAACTTTTATTTTAATTTTAGTATAATAATAATAATAATAATAATAATAATAATAATAATAATAATAATAATAATAATAATGATGTGCAAAAATTTAATTGTGTAATTAAAATTTTATTTATTTAAAAATTGATTTTTTGGAATTTTTTTTATGTATTATAAATTATTGTTTAATTATTTTTTTAATTATTATAAATTATTGTTTAATTAATTTTGTTAATTATTATTATTATTATTTATATTTATTTAAAAATTAGTTTTTTGGAATTTTTTTTATGTATTATAAATTATTGTTTAATTTTTTTTTTTTGTTGGATAAATATAAATTATTGTTTAATAATTATTTTTTTGATTATTATAATTTTATTGTTTAATTAATTTTGTTAATTATAATTCATTGTTGAATTTGGTTTTTTATTTATTATTTTATTATAAATTATTTATTATTATTTTCTTTGTAATTATTATTTATTGTTTTTTCTCTATTTTATTTTTTCATATAAAATAATTTTTTATTCTTAATAATTAAATAAATAATTTAAAAAAAAAAAAATATTAAAAAAATTAAAAAAAAAAAAAAAGAAAAAAAATCAAAACTACGAATTAAATTAATTTTTTATTATATCAAATTTGGAGTTAAGAGGAAAAATAATTGTAAGTAGAAAAATTACTTACCGAAAATTTATGTGGGGGATGAAAAAAAATTTTGTTGATTTTTTTTTTTTTTTTTTTAATTTTTTTGAAATGAAATAATAGTTTGGTTTTTGCTTTTTTGTAATTTTTGGGTTGAAAAAAAAGTGAAGATGATTTTTTTTTTTTTTTGGGTTGTTCACAAGGGTGACGACGACGGAGTGCGTCGCGACGTTGAGCGTCTCAGTACTCATTCACCAACCCCTACCAGTTTTCATATCATCGCAAACTCCCACTCTTAATATTTCTAAGCCAATCACACATTTAATGTCCTAAAATAATAATTGATGGAATTTTTTTTTTCCATTCTATTTTTCAACTTCCGTATAATTGCTGAAAAAAAAAATAATAATAATAATTCCAAACTAATTGAAATAGAAATTTTAATTTTTTTTCCCTCTTTTTTTTGTATTTGTTTCATTATTATTTTATTTTTTTATATTTTTAATATTTATTAATATTAATAATTAATAATTTAATAGATAATATAATAATAATAATAATTATTATAATAATTAATTAATTAATTTAATTATTATAATTATAATTTTTTTTTAATAATAATTTATAATATATTTAATAATTATTATATTTATTATTAATATTTTATTTTTATTATTTTGTTAATTTATATATAATTTTATTTGTTAATTAATTTAATTAAATTGAATTAAAAAAAAAATAATTTAAAAAAAAATTTGAAATTTAATTAAATACAAATTTTTTTAATTAATGTCGTGGAGTGATCAGGATTTGGAGTTTTTTTTTTTTTTTTTGGAAATGATGACTATTTGAACGGATATATGAGTCTTGCTTGAGATTCTTGGCAGTCATTCAAATGATAGTCGAGAAATTTCGCGAGGCTTTGATCATAACCAATACACAACTCTGATCCAAAATCTCACCTGTATCACTCTACCTTTAATTAATTAAATTCGAAATCTCCGAGTACAATATTCAACTTATCCTCGTTATTGTTGTATATCTATATATAATTATATAATATCTAAATATAGAAAATCCTAAGACTATTTGCGGTCTCTCTCAAAGTTTGAATTTATCGAAATTATTAATTTAAAAAAATTATTATGTTTTTTTACAATAATAAATTTTGATTTGTTTGTTTTTTTTTTTTTTTTTGGTTAAAAAAATGATCTTCATATTACAAGAGAGAAAAAAAAGAAATTTAAATTTCCATAATTCCAAATTGTCAAATTTTTTTTAAGGAAAAAAAAAAAAAAAAATTGGAAAATTAATAATTTAATACTTTTATCGAAATTAATTTTTTTCACTCTCTTGGTAAAATTGTTGTGCGCGTTGTGGTTTGAAATTCACCTGTTGCTTTCTATTATTTTTATTTCATTTTTGACGCGATAATTGGATTTTTTGGATAAAAATAAAAGTATTTAATTAAACTATAGAAACAAATAAAATTAATTATTTTATATTTACTTTATTATTATTATTATTATTAGTAATTTTTTATTATTATTATTAATTTTTTATTTATTTATTGTTATTTTTTAATTATTGTATTTTATTAAAATTATTTTCATATATTAATTAAAAAATAATTTTTAAAGAAAAACCGTAAAAAAAAAATTAAAATTAAACTTGGAAACAAAATTTTATTATTTATTTTTTAATTATTGTATTTTTTGAAATTTATTTATTTTTATTTTTTTTTTTTATATTATTTATATTAATTAGAAATAATTTTGTAAAAAAAACAAGTGCGTCAACAAAATAATTAAAAGAAAGAATAATTTTTTTATTCACCCAAGTTTCTATAAATAGAATTCTTAGACTATTTTTTGATTAAATGGATATCAAATTTTTTGTTTGACAACATTTTAATTCCATTCGATGAAGAGCAAGAATTCTTAATTTATTAATTTTTATATATATATATATATATGGGAAAAATAATTAAATCAATACAATATTGATTCTTAAATAAAATACTTACTCATTCAATATAATCAAAATTGAACGATTTTTTTAAAATGTTTTCTTTTTCTTATTTTTTCTTTTTTAATTGAAAGTAAAAAAAAAACTGTTATTAAAAAAAATTTATTTTTTAATTAAAAGAAAATTGTTTTTTTTTTATTAAAAAATATATTATTATTAGGCTTATTATTATTATTATTATTATTATTATTATTATTATTATATAATTGTAATTAGGCAAATAGTAAAAGAATTAAATAATAATTATTATTAATATTATTATTATATTTTTAATTGTAAAATTTTTTTAAAATTCTGTTTTTGAAAAATTAAAATAAAGAAAAATAAATAGGATAAATTAAAATTTACTTTAAAAAAAAAGAATAAAATAAATAATAAATAAAAAAAAAAAATCTTTTTTTCAATTTCAGGAAGATACGTTGGATCAAGACCAATAAAATTACGTAAAAGTTCCTGGAAACAACGAAATCTTGAAAGTGTACGTAAAAAAGAAAAGGAAAAACAAAATTTAATTGGATTATTAACCGGAAGGTGATGAAATTTTTTTTTTTTTCTTTTTTTTCATTCTCTTTTTTTCTCTAAATCGAGAAATATTTTATTCTTGATTGAATTTTACTCAGGAAAATGAAGTGAGACACAGAAGGAAGGTAGGAAATAAAAATCTTGAAAATTGTTTTACAATTTTTTCGAATGTAACTCGATTTCGTTTTCCATTAAAAAAAAAAAAAAAAAAAAATAGACAAATATTTTAAAAAAAAATGAAAACGTCGTCGAATGTTGAATAATTTAGATCGATCTCAAAAAAAAAAAAAAAAAAAAACTTTCTTTACGGAGGAAGCAAAAAATCAAAGGAATTTTGATTTTTTCAAAATGTAAATCGTCGATAACAATATTTAGGGTATTTATTATTATTATTATTATTATTGAATATTGCAAAAAAAATTCAGTAAATAAAAATTAATCGTTTTTATTTAAATTTTGATTTATTTAATAAATAGTTTGTTTTGTTAAATAAAAAAAAAAATAGAAAAAAATCAATATTTCTGAAATATAAATGAACAAAGTGAAGTGAAACGAAAATAAAAAAAAAAGTTGAAAACTGACAAAAATATTTTTTTTTTCGTTTTTTCTAAAAAGTTTTTTTTTTTTTTTGAAAAATGTCAGAAAATTCAGAAGAAGAGAGCGAGGGAGAAAGTGAAATAAATTCTTTAGGGGTAAGTAATTTTTGTTTGAATTAAAATTCTATATAATTAATTAATATTTAAAATAAAAAATTTTTAAATAATTATTATTTAAAATTAAAAAAAAAAAAAAAAAAAAAAAAAAAAATTGTAACCAACTTAATTGTTTTCTTTTTTAATTTTTGTTGTAATTTTTTTTTTTTTTGCCTTAAATAAATAAATGTAAATACACAGATATATGACGGCGAAAGAAATGAAAAAGGTGAAAGACACGGAAGTGGAAAAACAATTTTGCCAAATGGCGATATGTACGATGGAAATTATCGTCATGGACTTCGTGAGGGAAATGGAATTTATTGTTTTAAAAATGGAGCAAGATTTAAAGGTGAATGGCATGAGGGTAAAAAACATGGTCAAGGATTTTTTTGGTATCCCGATGGAACACGATACGAAGGTTTTTAAATAATATTTAAAATTATTTCTTTTTTTTTTAATTTTTCATTAATTTCTTTATTTTACAAAATTTCTTTAAAAAATAAAAATAAATTTAAAGGAAATTGGAAGCACGACATGAAACACGGTTTTGGTGCTTATTATTATATGAATGGTGATATTTACGAAGGTTCGTGGAAAAAAAATTATCGACATGGATTGGGAACTTATTATTATGCCGAACATGATGTCAAATTTATGGGAACTTGGATTTGTGATAGAATGCAAGGACCTGGACAACTTTGTTTTCATCGACATCGTTATCATGGTTCATGGGAATTAAATTTGGTGTGAATTGTTTTTTTTTTTTTTTTTTTTTAGAATTTTTACAAATTTTTTTCAACAATTTAGATTATTATAAATGATTGTACAAAAAGAAAATATTAGTTTTCAAAAATTAATCGATATATCGAACTATTAATCGAAATATCGAAATGCAATTCGATATATCGAAGTATTAATCGATGTATCGAAGTATAAGTCGATATATTGAAGTATTAATCGAAATATAATTCAATATATCGAAGTATTAATTGATATATCGAGGTGTAAGTCGATATATCGCTGTATTAATCGATATATCGAAATATTAAACGAAATATCGAAGTATTAATCGATGTATCGAAATATAAGTCGATATATTGAAGTATAATTCGATATATCGAAGTATTAATCGAAATATTAATCGAAATATCGAAATGTAATTCGATATATCGAAGTATTAATCGATGTATCGAAGAATAAGTCGATATATTGAAATATAATTCAATATATCGAAGTATTTATCGAAATAGAATTCAACATATCGAAGTATTAATCGATATATCGAGGTGTAAGTCGATGTATCGAAATATTAATCCAAATATCTAAATGTAATTGGATATATCGAAGCATTAAGCGATGTATCGAAGTATAAGTCGATATATTGAAATATAATTCGATATATCGAAGTATTAATCGACATATCGTTGTGTAAGTCGATATATCGATGTATTAATCGATATATCGAAATATAATTCGGTATATCGAAGTATTAATCGAAATATAATTCGATTTATCGGTGTATTAATCAAAATATAATTTGATATATCGAAGTATTAATCGATATATTGAAATATAATTCGATATATCGCAGTATAAATCGATATATCGAAGTAGTAATCGATATATCGATTAAAAAAACCAAATAAACGTCATTTAAAGTAACGGAAAATTAAAAATAAATTAAAATTTCTAAAAAAAAACTCTTTAGCCCATTGGTCGTGGATGTTACACTTTTGAAAATGGATCAATGTTACATGGACATTATATTCATAAAAAAAATCCAGAATATCAAGAAGAAGAAGAAGAAGATGAAAATCAAAACGTAATTTAAACAAAAAAAAATTAATTAACTTCTTTTATCACAAATCTTTCTTTTCTTTTTAATTGATTGTGAATTTTCTCATCTCAGAAAGAAGAACAGAAAATAGTTGATGAGAAAAATTTGCAAAATCATGAATTTAAACCATTACCACTTAAAAAAGGAATTTTTGCATTTTGGCAACCACAAAATGTCACGGATTTTAATCCTGATTTACTTCCACCTGATCCAATGCCTTTGCAAGAAAAAGTTAGTCTGTTTTTTATTTTTAAACGAAAAAAAAAAAAAATTCTAGAATCAAATATAATTTTTTTTAATATTGCAAATTTATAAAAAAGAAAATTTTTTTTTTTTTTTGCTCAAAAATCTCCCCTCACAAAAAAAAAAATCTTGTAAAATTTTTGAATTGTAAAAAGAAAAATTCTAAAATTTCTTTTCTCTGTCAATTTTATTATATATATTATATACCTATTGAGATCTTTCGTGTCGTGTTTCTACTTCCGCGCGAAACGGAAGTGAAATGACATTCATCCGGTAAATTATACAATTTTCATCGTTTACTTCCTTTTATTCGATTTTCGTCGTCTCGACGCTTAAATCAATCGCTAATAAAATTTTTAATTAATTAGATCAGGATATCCTGCTTCCGAAAGTTTCCCTTATTATTATTATTATTATTATTATTTGAGATTTCGCGGAACGTCTTGACTAAAAAGATTATTAAACAAATGAAAGAAATTAAAAAAAAAATTAAAATTTTATAAATTAAAAATTTTGTTAAATAATAATAAATTTTGTTGAATTAAAAATGTGTATTTAATAAAAATATTATAATAAACAAAAAATAAAATAAATAATTAAAAAAAAATAATTTAATAAAAAATTAAAAAAGGGATATTATTTAGAATTTTTTTTTTTTTATTTTTAGGACTCATTTGCATCTGAATCTGATAAATGCAACAGCGAGTCTTTGGAAGATCATTTTAATCAATATTTAACATTTGATGATCAACAACACGAAGGGGAAACTTTTATCTACAACGAATCATTTCAAGAATATAAATGATAATTGTCCGATTTTTGTGATTAAACACGTTTCTGTTATATATATATATACATAAAAAAATAATAAAATTTCAAAATATAAAAAATATTTTTTATAAAATTAATAGAAAAAAAAAACTTTTTTAATATAAGTTTCATTTAAGTGAAAATAAAAAAATATATTTCATTGATTTTGAAATTTAATTTTGTAAATTTAAAAAATTTAAACATTTTCGTCAAAAAATTAAATTTTATTGTTTTTAATAAAAAAAAAAATTGTTAATATCAAAGTACTAATCGATATATTAAAGTAAATATTCGATATATTGAAATAAAAAACGATATATCGAAGTATAAGTCGATATATTGAAATATAAATCTATATTAATATATAATTCGATATATCGCAATATAAATCGATATATCGAAGTATTAATCGATATATCGCAATATAAATCGATATATCGAAGTATTAATCGATGTATAAATCGATATATTGAAATATAAATCGATATATCGAAATATAAATCGATATATCGCAGTATAAATTAATATATTAAAATTCGATATATCAAAGTATAAATCGATATATTAAAATATATTTCGATATATCGAAGTATAAATCGATATATTGAAATATAAATCTATATTAATATATAATTCGATATATCGAAATATAAGTCGATATATCGCAATATAAATCGATATATCGAAGTATTAATCGATGTATAAATCGATATATTGAAATATAAATCGATATATCGAAATATAAATCGATATATCGCAGTATAAATTGATATATTAAAATATAATTCGATATATCGAAGTATAAATCGATGTATTAAAATATACTTCGATATATCGAAGTATAAATCGATATATCGCAATATAAATCGATATATCGCAGTATAATTCGATATATCGCAGTATAAATCGATATATTAAAATATAATTCGATATATCGAAGTATAAATCGATATAACATGAAAAAAATAAAATATTATTTTATATACAATAAAAAAACATAGTATTATTAAAGAAAACACTGATTTTGCAGATTAAAAAGCCGTTTATTTATTAAGAAATTATATTAACGACTTAAAAATTCTGTATTATATAATATATATATATATATTTATATACTGGTTGAGACATTGTATATCATAAAAATTGAGATTAAATTCCAAAAATCGAGATTCTAAACGACAATTTTATGCTTATCTTCGATAAATTATGCGATGCAATCGCATATTATGCATATACGAATTATTAAAAAAAAAATAAAAAAAAAAAAATTACAAAATATAATATATTTATATGTATATAATATATTTACAGTCAATTCTCAACTCAACCCCTTGTGCGTTCCCCCCTCCCCCCTCTCACTCAAAAACACACACACGCATACTAAAATTATTATTATTACCCTCTTTCTCTCACACATTTTAGCAAAATAAAAAAAATTTATTTTCCAAAAATCGAAAAAGCATTTAATTAAAGGAGTTTAAAAGTGAGGACAAAAAAATGTGAAAATTAGAAAATAAAAAGATTGAGACGTATGGAAAGTTCCTTAAAACTGAATTTACATTTTCTTTATCGAACATAGATTGCAAAAAAAAAAATCTCTTGTAAATTATTTCATAAGTATTTTTAAATTTATATATTAAGTGTTAAAATTTTTTGTAAAAATAATAAAATTCCGTTTAGTGAAAATTGAATTTAAAATTGGCGCCATATTCATCTGTTTTACCGACACAACAAAGAGTGTAAACTCACAATTAAAAAAAAAAAATTTTTAATTTTCACATGCGTCTCAAAAAAAAAAAAAAAAAGCGCCTGAGTAGTTTAAAAAAAACAGTGAGGATGAAAAAAAAATTGTAAAAAAAATATATATTTATATTTATATATGTATAAAAAACATAGAGATCGACAGGGACGGAAAGAAAAATAGTTACAAAATCTTTTTTTTTTTTTAATACATTGACGATGACTCGAAACAGTCTTGTTTTTTTTTCTTTCTTTTTTCAAAAAAAAAAAAAAGAAATGTAAATCACTCAATAAGCGCATCATTTCTAAACATATGTACAATTCGGTTGTCGTTTCTTTTCCCTTTTTTTTTTTTTTTTTTTGCATTTAAACGACTCGCGAAAAATCTCAAAAAAAAATCTTTCGACGACAATATTAAATTCCTGATATTCTTTTTTTTTTAACATTCAGGAATTTTCCGAGGAAATTTTTTTTCCTTCTATATGTATATATAACAAATGTGTTATAGAAATTCGAAACACAAAGTTCAGAACGAAAATTTTTATCGAAAAAAAAGAAAAAAATTTTCGTTCTGAAATTCAATTTTTTTTTTTTGTTGTTCCCTTGGCACACGAAAAAATTTGTTTAAATTGTAGATTCGTAAATCACAGTTACGTAGAAAAAGAAAAGAATTTTTTTATCTTTTCTTTTTCAAAAAAAAAAAAAAAAAAATTATTTTTATGATATACCGACTGAGATTTTTATTTATCTTTTTGTCATCAAGCTCTTGCTGTCGGTGATTGAAGCAAATTTCACATTAAATCAGGTGGCGGCCTCTCAAAAGCGATACTAGCGACAGAAATGCTGCATAATCCAGCGGTGATAACGCCCAATCCAATATACACAGAGGTAATAAGCCAAAAGGCAAATAAATAAAGTGTTTTATTGCAATATTTCCCCAAAGATGGATCATAATTTGGTTCATATTCTTTGTAAACCCACATTGAACCTGAAAAAAGGTTTCGTTGTCGATAATGTAGATATTTATATTACCGACTGTTGATAAAACTGGAATCTATGTTATCATCGATCACTAATATAATTTCTAATTATCAGTTGGTAATGTAGGATATACTGTTACCGACCGCTAATAAGATAGATTTCTGTATTACCAACCGTCGATAATAAAGAGTTCTACTTTACCATCGGTCGGTAATACTGCCGACTACATTACCAAACAGCGTTTTACATTTATAAAAATAGAAGTAATATTTTTACCGATAATGAACCATCCAAGCATAAAACAATTGATTAATGTTTGCGTGGGTGACTGTCGTATTCTTTCCTCATCCCTTTCCTCGGGACGTTGTCGAACTCTCGTCGAAAGATGAAGAAGTTGTTTAAAAACACCAAATCCACCGCCAACTAATAAATAAACAGGAATGTATTCACCCTGCGGACAATCGTAGAGATACAGTCCACCAATTACCATCATACAAATTGGAATCACAGTCGTTATTCCCAAGAGTATTGTGCATCCAACTGAGGGGGGAAAATAGAAAAATTTAAAGCTATTTTTTAAATACTAGGCAATTTTTTGTCATTTGTTTTTTTTTTTTATAAAAAAAATGAGTAATATATTTTTTTTAATTGAGTTACTAACTTGTGCCTAAAAGTAGCATGAGAATATTTTTCAGAAATTCAAATATTCCCTTGGATGCTTTGTGTGCTTCTCTCATGCGGCCAAAAAGTGAATCGTACGATGGTGGAGGAGCTGAAAAAATAGTTGAAATTTAAACAGACTCTTCTCAATGTAGACATTTTTTAATTTTTTAGGGTTTTTTTTTTTGTTTCAAGACTGTAATTTTTAGAACGAAATTTTGGCGTTCGTTCGCCGTAGGCTCCCTTTGGGAACATTCTAATTAATATCCCAACGTTGTACTCTTCATTGAGCGTCGAAATGGTTTAGTACGTTTACTTTGAACAAATTAGAGTACTTAAAGCAAGCTATCATTTGCCTGCATATTCTATGAAAAGCAATATCATATCGGTTTCTATTTTTGTTGGTTTTAAGAAACCAATATGTATTGCGTATTGTCGTATTCATTAATCAAGAACGAAAATTAGAGGTTCAAAGGATCGTTGACAAAAGCTTTGGCTTCTATCAAAAATATTTTCATTAATCAAGAACGAAAGTTGAAGGTTCGAAGAATCGTTGCAAGACAGAAGCTAAAGCTTATGCCGAAAATGTTTTCATTAATCAAAAACGAAAGTTAGAGGTTCGAATGATCATTGCAAGACTGTCAAAAACGTTTTCATTAATCAAGAACGACAATTAGAAGTTCAAAGGATAATGGACAAAAGCTTTGGCTTCTATCAAAAATGTTTTCATTAATCAAGAACGAAAGTTTGAAGGCAAACAAATCCTGCCCAGTTCTTCGTATTAAGAATCCGTCTAGTTTCTCCGATTAATAGTCGCATGGTAGCGTAAAACGGAAAGCAGAAAACGTTCAGCTAATAATAATTCTATTAGAATGATTTTCATTGAACCAAACGTTGTTGGTTTAATGCTTTCTGCTTTTACGCCACCATGCAACGGATCCTTAACTTTGCAGGCCTTAACTCTTCACAGTAAATGAAGTATGGTTGCAAAATTGAAACTTAAAGGAATTGACGAAAGAGTACCAACAGGTGACTTCTTTTTGTAGTTTTTGTTGCAGTATATGGTTTTAAAATTGAAACTTAAAGGAATTAACGAAAGAGCACAAATAGGTGACTTTTTTGGTGAGCAGCTTTTTTTCTCGGGTCAGCAACAGTCCCCAAGGGAAAAAAGAGTTGCTTCTACCCCTTAAAAAAAACGTAGCATCTGTTCCAAAAAGTACACCAGGCCCTGTAAAAATATTGATAGATTGAGAGTTCTTTTTTGATTAGGTGACTGATTCTTAGTTCTTAGTGTAGTGATTTGTCTGATTAATGCAGATAACGAACGAGACTTTAGTCTACTAAATAGACGTAATTTATAGCATGTTGAACACTTTCCTCTTCAATCGTGGGTTTTGTTTTAACTACCAACGTACAAATAAATCTTCTTACACAGGTGGCTTTTTAGCCATTATTGAGCAATAACAGGTTTATGATACCCTTAGATGTTTTGGGCCAAAACAGAATAATCCGGCTAAGAAACACATCTGTTGAATGAAAAAAATTTTACCAATTAAAATAATTTCATGGAAAATCTGTTTCTATTGAAAGAAATAATTTTTGGTCGGTAATTTTTTTTCTCCCTCCCAACAGAAATGCTTCCTAACCTGAATCTTCTTCGTGATAAAAATTGTTGTTATTTTTCATGAACGAGAAATTCCCAGTAAGCACGAGTTATAAACTCGCGTTGATTAGGTGTGAAAAATGTACAAGATTGGAAAGTTTATTCTATTGGAAGTTAGGAAGGAAAAACAGGGAAGAAAAAGGAGAAGGTATATAAATTTTTAAAATAAATTAAACAAATTGAAGAAAGATGGATGAAATAAATTATAATTGTCAACATTTAAAATGATCTGAAAAATAAATATAATTAATTTTGTAATTTTTTTTAAAAAAAAATATAGCATTATTTACAAATTTTAAAGATTTCAAATTCCGAATAATTTATTTTTTATATATTACCATTAGGATCGATGGCCTCTTCATATGAAGGCGGTGCTCCACGATCACTTGCTGATATTGCAAGATGCTCAAGTGGTAAATTAATATTGTGATAAGCAGGTGGTGGCGTACAACTTGTTGGTGTTATTTGTGATGTTTGGCCAGAATTTGCGGCACTTGAAATTCCCGATTGTACACCACCGTGTACCATTGGACTTAATGGCATCTCTTCACGTATCCGACTCTTCCAATCCATTAAATTTTCATCAATAATACCCGGTTGTTGTCGATTTTTTTGTCGACAACACCAGACTTTTAACCTTCAATCAATAATAATAATAATAATAATAATAATAATAATAATAATAATAATAATAATAATAATAATAATAATAATTGATAAAAATATTAAAAAGAGACAACAAAATACAATGAAAAAAAAAAAATTTATTTGATTCAAATAATTGGTTACTTGACTATTATTAAATAAATATTTATTTGATTTAAATGAATTTTTATTTGATTTAAATAAATATTTATTTGATTTAAATGAATTTTTTTTGATTTAAATAAATATTTATTTGATTTAAATAAAAAAAAAAAATTTATTTACGCCAAATAAATGGGTTAGTAGGCATTGAGAAAAATATACGTTTATTTAAATCAAATATATTATATACTTGGATCAAATAAAACATTTCTCTGAGTGTATATTTGTATCAAAGAATTATTTTTTTTTGAGATGGTATTTGTTTCAAATACAGAAATTATTGATTCAAATATAGTTTATTTAATTCAAATAAATATTTACTTGATAATAGTCAAGTAACCAATTTGTTTGAATTAAAGATAATTTTTTTTTTTTTTTTTTGAAATAAATAAATTTTTTTGTATCAAAGAAAAAATTGATTTCTTTGAATCAAAGAAAAATTTGTCAAAGAAATTAATTTCTTTGAATTAAAGAAATTTTTTTTCTCGATGTAATTATCAGTTACAAAATAAAAATTTATAATATTTTTGAAAAATTATTTAATTTTTTTTTAATATTATTTTCAATAATAATAATAATAATAATAATAATAATAATAATAGGTAAAAATAATAATTATAATAATAATAATAATAACAATAAAAGGTAAAAATAATAATAACAATAATAATAATAATAATAATAATAATAATAATAATAATTAAAGGTAAAAAATAATAATTATAATAATAATAACAATAAAAGGTAAAAATAATAATAATAATAATAAAATTAATAAAATAATAATAATAATGACGAATATCCAAAAAAGGAGGCAATTTTGGACACCAACGCAAAAATGTTGTTTACAAAAACGCAAGTGTTGATTATAATCGTCTACATATGTATATATATATATATATATATATATAGTATACGTATATATATCGAAACATTTAAAAAAAATTAAAATTTCAATTAAATGTGACAAATTTAAAAACATATGGAAAATAATAAATGTAATTTTTTTTAAATGAAAAATGAAAGTTAATACCGGTTTTTTTTAAAAAGTAAAAGTAAATATGTAAAATATAGATATATATATATATATATATACATACCTTGTGGGAATAAGAGACGTCACACCCCCGCCGCGTCTGCCTTGAAAAAACAATCACGTATCATTCTTGTTTGTCGTCTTCGTTTCTCGACATTTCCAATGGCACTCTTTTTTTCAAACTATAAAGAAAGGAGACGAGAGACTTTTTTTTTTGCAATGTTCAAAAAAAAAAAAAAAATATTGTAGGTTAAATTGCGTTCATTAAAAATGTATTATAAGAATTTTTTTTTTTCACATGTACACGAAATAGATATTAATTTCTTTCTCTCTATTTTTCTTGACTTACTGTCAATTTTTCATTTAGCCTAGGTCCGTGCCATAACAACCTACCACACACTAACACGAAGAACTAAACTATTTTACCATGTGGAGTGAAATTGTCAAATAATCGTTAAACGACCTAATCGATATGAATTGCAAAATATATCGATTAGTTAAAGAGGGCGGTAAATTTAAAAACTAAAGTTGGGAGAATTTGCGTCAGGGTTGGGAAGGCAGAGAAATAATGGGTTTTTAAGGGTCCGTTCATATGTCAACTGTACTAATAGGGTCTTTCTACAATAGTGGAAATTTAGTCTTTTATATATATATTTTTTTATTATTTACGTTTATTTTTTTAACTAATATTATTATATAATTATTATAAACGGAAATTTTAAATAAATCGTATTTATGTTAATATTCGTATAATATTAATGGTAAAACGCTTAATTATTGGCGGGAATTTTGATTTTTTTTTTATTAGCAGGAATTTTTATTTTATTTACTTTATTTTTTAAAATATATTAAAGTAGAGGACTTCCCCTTTATTCGTGACTGAAATTTAAATTTCACTAATGGTGGGAGAATATAAAATGAAAATACGACCTTGTAATTCCTTCAGTTATAAACGTTATAAAAAGGATTCAGTATTAAACATAAAGTGTTGTTCAATTTTTCTAGATATGATTTTTCAAATTCTCATTCGTTTCGCCGGTAATAAAAATTAGTTAATTTTTTTTATTAAAAAATAAATTAATTCTTTTCTATTTTCTATTTTAGATATTTTTATTCTTATTGCAACGATTTTTTTAATTATTTATTCCATTTATTTATATCAACGAAAATGGATTCAATTATTGAGATTAGCTTTTAAATTACCAGGGCCGTATGCATTTCCGTTTATTGGAAATGGCCTCAATTTCGCCTGTAAAGCCGAAGGTATTGAATATAATAATTATAATTTTTTTCCTTTTATAATTTTGAAAAAAAAAAATATTATAAAATATTTTTTAAAAAATAATAGAAATTAAAATATACAATAACAATTTAATTATTTTATTTTTTTTAATGATTTTTTAACAAATAAAATCACTTATATCTTATAAGTGACGCACTTTGGAAAAATATGGGGTAAAAAATTACAGGTTATGTTTATGATCGTTTAATGAAAAAAAAATTTTTTTTATAATTAATATAAAATCAAAATCAATTTTTATTGAATATTTTAATTGATATAGGGCGAAAGAAACATTTATTTGAATTAAAGAAAAAATTTTTTTGAGAAGATAATTTTTTTTTTTGAATCAAAGATAATTTGTTTGAAACAAATAAATTTTCTTTGAATTAAAGAAAAATTTTTCAAAGTATTTCTTTGAATCAAAGAAATTTTTTTTCTGGGCGTGTAAGGAATAAAACTTGAACATTTGTATTAAAAATTGACCATTTTTATGCGTATTTTTGCTCCAAACAATCATAAACATAACCTATAATTTTTTTTTTTTTGCTTCTCAGGTCTCATTCTTTAGAGCGCGTCACATATATACAAAAATAATTTTTAATATTTTAAAACAATTTTAATGGAAATTACAGTAATTTAAAGTTGATAATTTTTTTTTGTCCAGGGCCGTATTATAATTTGGGGGGGCAAAAGGGCCCTTTCTTTGGAATTTTTCGAAATATTATTAATTTTTTTTTTCTGTTTTAATTTGAATAATTTTTTTTTTTTGTCTAGAATTATTAGAACGTGCAGTAAAAGTTGTTAAGCCTTATGTTAATTTAACACCTATGAGATTATGGCTCGGTCCAATGTTGTGTGTAATTATCTCAAAACCACGTGATCTTGAGGTAAAAATTTAAATTTTAAATTCTGTTTATTTTATTTTATTATTATTATTATTATTATTATTATTATTATTATATTTTTTGAAGATAAATAAAATAAAAAATTTAATAAAATTTATTTTATTTTTAAAATAAATTATTATAAAAAATTTTTAACTTTGAATATTTTTTTTTTTTATACAAAAATAATAATAACGGTTATATCGACGAAATCAAAAAATCAACTTCCTTTATGTAATTGGTTCAAATTTATTATTCCAAACTCGTTTTGATTCCTAACGAAATATATATATAAATATATATATATATATATAACTTTTATGTTGCCTTGCATGTACATAAGCAATTTTAAATTATATTTTATTATTTCGATTGCATTATTCTCTCACTTGCAAATTCCAAATGCATTTTTTCAATATATATATATATATATATATATATATATATATATATATATACAACACCATTTGAATAAAACAAAAATTTATTTCATCATTTAAAAAATAGAAATTAATTTTTTAAATTATTTTTTTAAATATTATTTTAATTAGAAAATTTTTATTATATAATAATAATAATAATAATAATAATAATAATAATAATAATAATAATAATAATAATAATAATATTATTATTATTATTATTATTATTATTATTATTATTATTATTATTATTATTATTATTATATTATAATTTATAATTTAATTCAAATAATTTTTAATTTTGTAAAAAAATATTTTTTTTTAGAGGCAAAAAAATGTAAAAATATTTTTTTTATAAAGTTGTATTAATTTTTTTTTTTTCATAGATAATTTTAAATAGTCAACAAGCAATTGAAAAGGGATTTTCTTATAAATTTTTGAAACCGTTTATTGGAGAAGGTCTTATCAGTGGTTCTGGTAAATTTTATATATATATATATATATATATATATATATATATATAATTAAAAATAAAATATTTAAATTATTTTTGAAAAATTGAATAAATAAATTTTTATTTTTAAAACTAATTATACTATAATAAATTATTAGACTAAAAAATTGGTTTTTATAAAAATTAATTATTAATTATAAAAAAGAAATTGTTTTAAACTACTCTTTTTTTTAAATTCAATTTTTTTTTTTATAATTGAAAAATTAAAAAATTTTAAATAAAGAAAAATTTTTTTTATTAAAAATAAATAAATAAATTTTCTAGGGCCAATATGGAAATCCCATCGTAAAATTGTTGCTCCAATATTGACACAAAAAATTCTTGATAAATTTTTAATTATTTTCGATCGTCACAGTCGAAATTTAATGAGAGAATTAAAATCACTGTCAAATGGCAGGGAAATTGATATTCTTGGACCAATAGAACTTTGTACCGCCAATATTGTTTGTGGTAATTAAAAAAAAAAATAAAATTGATATTTTTTTAAATTAAAATTTTTTGTTTTAATTTTTTTTTTTTAAATTATTTGTTTTAATTTTTGTTTCAAATAAAAAATTTTCTATCCTTTTTTTTTTTGAAATTTAATTCAAAAAAATTACAATATAAATTTCAAAAAATAAAATTATAGATAAGAAAAATTTGTAATTTATAAAATTTTAAAAATTCTTTATTTCATTTTTTTATAAGTTTTTTAAATTTTCGTAGGTATTTAATTTTTTTTTTTTCAATTATGAGAAAAATATTTTTTTTTCTTTTTTCTAGAAACTGTATTGGGATGTGATGATACTGAATCAATGCTCGATTCTACTAAGGAATTTTTACATCATTCAGCTGAGTGAGAAATTTTTTTTTTTATTTTCTTTAAAAAAATTATTATTTTTTTTTTTTTTAAATAGAATAAATTTTCTTTTTTTAATAAAAAAATTTTTTTTTTAGAATGTATCGAGTGGCTATCGATCGTGTAATGAAAATATGGCTCTATCCAGATTTTATTTACAAATTTACAGAAAATTATAAAATAAATTTGAAGGGACGAAAAATTCTTACCAATTTTGTTCAACAAGTAAATATTTATTTTTCGCATTTAATTTAATAGAAAAAAAATATATATAATACAAATTTAATAATTTAATGTTAATTTTATCAAAAAAAAAAAATATATATATATATTTTTAGTGCATAGAAAAAGTGAAAACAAGACGAAAATTAAATAAAGAAAATAAAAATTCAATTTTGGATCGAATTTTGGATATTTTGGAAAAATCGGACAATAAAATGAGCGAAGAAGAACTTAAAGATGAAATGATAACAATTTTTTTAGCGGTATTTATTTTATTTTTTATCTAAATTTTTTTTAAATAATAATATTTTAATTTTTAAAATAATAATTTTAATTTTTTTTTCTGTTTTTTTCAATTTTTTCAAAAAATGAAAAAAATTTCTTTTATTTTTTTTTTTTTTCAATAATACAAAACTAATATATTTTTCTATTTTTCAGTCTCAAGATACTTTGGCAGTAATATCGAGTTTTGCAATTTTAATGTTAGGAATACATGAGAAAATTCAAGACGATGCACGAATTGAAGTGATGAGAATTTTTGCTGATAATTCAAATTCAATGGATATAGAAAAACTTTCACAATTGAAATTTATTGAGAAAATTGTTAAAGAGACACTTCGACTTTTTCCCATTGCGCCAATAATGGCAAGAACAACAATTGGTGAAATAAAATTGGGTATACAAAAATGAAAAAAAAAAAAAATTATTTTAAAAATTATAAACAAAAAATTTGATATTAAAAAAAAATTTAACATTTATTAAATTTTTTTTTTTTTAATTAATTCAACAATTAATCACCTCATTAATTTAATTATCTAATTATAATTAAGATTGCATATTTAATAATATTATTTTTATTATTATAATTAAGATTGCATATTTAATAATGATAATAATTATTATTAATTTTGTAATTAAATAAATAATAGTAAACGATAAAATTTGATACCTATAAAAAATTATTAATTAAAAGATTTTTTTAAAAAAATAAAATAAATTATTAGTTAAAAATTAGAAATATTAATTAATTATTTTTTATATTAATTAAAATAGAAAATTCTATTTTCAAAAAAAGAGAGAAAATAAGTTTTTAATTTCTTTTAGCAGCTAAATTTTTGTAATTAATTAATTAATTAATTAATTAATTAAAATTAAAATTAAAATTAAAATTAATTAATTAATTAATTAAAAAAAAAGGAATTAAATTTTCTCTCTTTTCCATGGAATTTTTTTTTTTACAGATTCGTGTACAATACCAGAAAGTTGTCAAATAATTTTAATTCCATTCTTGACGCACAGAAATTCGGAATATTTTCATGAGCCGGAAAAATTCAATCCAGAAAGATTTGATCCTGCTGATGCTGTTGAGCGTCATCCTTATTCATTTATTCCATTTAGTGCTGGACCCATGGGATGCATTGGTTAGTATTAAAAAAAAAAAAATTTATTTCAGAAAAATAAATCATAATTAATATAATATTTTAATAATAATAATAATAATATTTTATTTAATAATAAAATTATATTTTACATTAGATATCAATATTTTGAAATTATTTATTCATTATATTTTTTTCTTTTCATTTTTTTTTTGATAAAAAATAAATTTTCCTAAATTCTTCTCCCATTTTATCGATAAAATTTGTTTTTAAAAAAATCTGCCGCTAATGATTTTTTTTCTGTTTCTTTTTTTATAATAAAGGTCAACGATTCGCTATGATGAGTTTAAAAACAATAATTGCAAATTTTCTTCGAAATTATAAAATCACCTCACAAGTTCAATTAAAGGAAATTCAACTGAAAACTGATATTTCCATTCGTTCTAAAAATGGTTACAAAGTTTCGTTAAAATTAATTTAACAAAAGTGATAAATAAATTACTTTAAAATTAATTAATTAATACCACAAGTAATTAATTGTAAATTAATTGTAAATTAATTAATTTACTAAATTAATTGTAAATTAATTAACTAAATTAATTATTAATTAATTAATTAACTAAATTAATTGCAAATTATTTAATTAACTAAATTAATTGCAAATTATTTAATTAACTAAATTAATTGAAAATTAATTAATTTACTAAATTAATTGTAAATTAATTATCCATAAAAAAATTTTAATAAAAAAAATGTATTATGTATTAAAATTCAAATGTAATATATATTTAGAAAAAAAAAATTGAATTTTAAGATCTACAATAAAATTTTATATTATATATAATAATTGAAAAAGTTTTTTATTTTTTTAAATTACATACCCTTAATTTCAATCTCCAATTTTTAAAATATCACAACATCCAAATAATTCCCTATATTGTTGACTTATTGAAAATGACAAAAAATAGGATAGCAAAAAATGTAAATATAAAAGTAATGCAGTCACTTTGCTTATTGATAGTAAAAATTGATTATCATTTTTTTTCACTATTTGCAGTGATACATTTTCACTTAATATTAATTTATTCTGAAACAATATTTTTTTTTTTTGAATTTATAATTTTTTTTTTTTTTTTTGTTAATTATTACAATAGGTTCGCTTATGTAATAAGAAAAAATTTGCTTTTAGTTATTAAAACCTAAGTAATAAAATATAGTAAAAAATTTTCAAAAATTTTTTTACCAAAAAAAAATATTAGTTTATTAAATTAAGAAAAAAAAATTTTTATTTTTTAAATAATTATTATTATTGTAGGTAGATAATTTTCTTATTTTAAAATTTTACATACCTTTTCACTATTATCGTCAGAATGAATTAATTTTTCCTTCTTTTCATAAGAATTAATTACATTTTTTTTGTTGAAATTCTGTACTTGAATTGAATAAATAATTAGATAATTATAAATTCAATAAATAATTAGGTAATTAAAAATTCAAAAATTAATTACTAATTAATATTTTATTTACTTAATAAAATTACCCATGACTTTTGATTTTATTCGATCAATAAATTTTTTCGTCAATTTATTTTTTGGTCTTGTCATTAATCTTTTTTCAAAATATTTGTTTCCATAAAAAATCTTTGAAAAATAAAAATTTTTTCTTACGAAGCAAAATATTTTTTTAAAATTAATTTTCTACTAATAAATAAACAAAAATTTATTTCAATGAAATAATATTTTCGTTAATAAATAAATATTTTCTAATGTTAGGAAAATAAAATAAAAACAAATAATATAAATAAATAAATAAATAAATTATTGTAATAATAAAAATTTCAAAAATTAATTATTACTAATAATTTTTTTGTTTACCCTTTTTTTATGTTTTCCTCTTGTTTTCTTTATATTTTTAAAAAAATCACAAATATTTTGCGTTAATTTATTTTCATTAATATTGAAAATTGAGGAATTTTTTTTAAATTCTTTTCGACTTATTTTTAGATAATTATTTTTTTCTCCTCTCTTTGCTGTATACAATAAGAACAAAAAATTACTTTTATTTCCTATTAATTCTAATTAATAAATAAATAAATTTTAAAAAATTAATTTTTTAAAATAAATTTAAACTAAAAAAAATTCATTGAATTTAAAAAATATATTTATTAACAAAAATATTATAATTTGTTTAGATATTTAATTATTTAATTACTTTCTTTTTTTACCTTTAAATCGTAATTCTTTAGAATCATTTAAATTAGAAACATGAAAAAATAACGTTAATTGTCGAATCATAATTGCAAAATAAATTTTTTTTTAATAAAATAAAAACTAGAAAAATTAAAAAAATAAAACTCCACGTATTTTTGACGTGAAAATTAATCAGGAGATTGTCATTTTTTTTCTGATTTTGTTATTTTTTTTTCATATCTTGAAGATTTGTAGTTGTAAAATAAATAAATATGAAAATTATTTCTAAATTAATTTCATCGTCAATTAATTATTATTAATTAATAAAATATATTTATTAAATTATTTATTTATTTATAAACTTCTTTTTTTTTGTGCGTGTCAATAATAGTGTTAAACAGTCATTCATTTCTCTTTTAAAATTAATTAACAATTATTTACAAATTTCACTAAAAAAAAAAAAAAATCCATCGAAAAATTATTTTAATATTCTATTTTCATGAAAAAAAAAAAAATTAAATATGTTCAAAAATCAATTTTAAAAAAATCCACATTTAAATACTATTTTAAAATATCAAATTTTCCAAAGAAGAAAATTTAAAGAAAATTTTTTTAAAAAAATTGTCATAAAATTAAAAAAAAAAAAAAACAAAAAAAAAAGTAATTTTTTCTACAAAATCACCGTTCAAGACGAACAGTTTTAATGCAAGGTCGTCCATAACGTTTTTTTGCCTCTTGAACAAATGCATTTTCCATTTGTCGTACAATTTCATTGAAAAATAAATTCGCCACATGCGAATAGAATATTGAACGAAATTCAAATGATATTGAAATATCAACGAGGCATGTTTGTGAATTATTTTTTAAACCAGGACTAAATATCCATAATGTATTTAAATGATCAAATAATTTGCCATCAGTACATTCGGCTTTAACTAAACGTGAATGAATTGTTGTTACTTTTGATAAATAACTTTCATTAATTGGCGGAAAACCAATAACAAGTTTTGCCTTTTTATAATCCTTTGTTTTTTCAATTATTGTTGACATTTTACAAAATGGTACAAAATTTTTATAATTCTCCACATCGGCAACAACATTATACATTTGTTCCATTGAAAATCTGTGAAAGAAAGATTTTTTCTTTTTTCTTTTTAGTTTTTTTTTTTTTTTTTTTTTTTTTAAATATTTTTAATTAAAAAAGAAATTTTTTTTTTCTTTTTAGAAAAATTAATAAATAAATATTACAAATATTAAAAGGAAAATTCAATTATAATTATTATAATTAATTAATTAATTTACAAACAGTAAATTAAGAAAATAAATTAATTAACAAATTTACAAAAAGTAAATTAAGTAAATAAATAAATTAATTAATTTACAAAAAGTAAATTAAGTAAATAAATTATTTAATTAATTTACAAAAAGTAAATCAATAAATTCCTTAATTAATTAATAAATTTACAAAAAGTAAATTAAGTAATTTATTTACAAAATAAATTAATTAATTTATTTACAAAAAGTAAATTAATAAATTAATTAATTTTCCTCACCCAATTAATTTTCGACTTTCGTATTCTTTCGTTCTGCTTTTATCAAAAGTCGATATTTGTCGAATGTTTCCAATTCCCGTTATTTGTTTAATTGTAAAAAAATATCTATTAACAAATAAAAAAACAAATTAGTTTCTAAATTTTCAATTAATTATTTATTTCAGTTCATTAAAAATTAAGAATTTTAATTAAAAGTAAAAATTAAAAATTAAATCTCAATTAAAAGTAAAAAATTAAAAATTAAACTCTAATTAAAAGTAAAAATTAAATATTAAATTCTAATTAGAAGTAAAAAATTAAAAATTAAATTCTAATTAAAAGTAAAAATTAAAAATTAAATTCTAATTAGAAGTAAAAAGTTAAAAATTAAATTTCAATTAAAAGTAAAAATTAAAAATTAAATTCTAATTAATAGTAAAAATTAAAAAATTAAATTTCAATTAAAAGTAAAAAATAAAAAATTAAATTCTAATTAAAAGTAAAAAATAAAAATTAAATCTTAATTAAAATTAAAAATTAAATTTTAATTAAAAGTAAAAATAAAAATTAAATTTTAATTTACTATTAATAAATTAATTTTTGTTAATTCATTTAAAACACTAAATAAATAAAAATAAACGACGCGAACCTAACCTTACTTTTGAAATATAAACGAAATTAAAAATTAAATTTCAATTAAAAGTAAAAATTAAATTTTAATTAAAAATAGAAATAAAAATTAAATTTTAATTAAAAATAGAAATAAAAATTAAATTTTAATTAAATATATAAAAATAAACGACGAACCTAACCTCACTTTTGAAACGAACGAAATTTAAAAAAAAAACAAAAACAAAAGAAAATTACTTACATAATAATGTGATTTTTGTTAAAACTTACCTGTACGTTCTAATTATCATCTTTAACATCTATTTTTGACAAAACACATTTTCTAAAAACTAAAAATCTATATTTTAAAAACTCGCGATCAAATTGTGATTAGCAGACGATTTTTGAAAATTTTTCTTTCCCACGCAATTTTCAATTAAATTAATAAAAAGAAAAACTATCAATAATTCTCCCCACTTGTTAATTTTTAACAATTATACATTAAAATAATTTTGTTGACTGATTTCGAAAACACAAATCTATAAATTTTAAAGGTTATGTAATTTCGAGCTGTCAAAAAACAAATTTTTTTTTATTTTTAACAAATAAAAATGATTATTTTTAATGTCATTTACATTTTTATACAAAAGAGAATTTATTATATTTTTCTATGAAAAAAAATATCGTTTTTTTTCAAAATATATGAATAACAATTTTTGGGTATTTAAATTTTCCCGCCACTTGTGACGAATTGCTGTTTTCGATTAATCGAATCAGCTGATTCGAGGTTGTTCTCTGTTGGCGAGCTAAAAAAAACGAAGTCGTGAAACAATTTCAGATTTTCAACAAAATTTTTAATTCATTATATAATATTAAAAATAGAATATAATTCTTTTTTTCTTTCTTCTTGAAAAAAAAGTGGGATTATTGTACAGTTAAAAATGGCAAATATTGTCCCGCAAACGTGTCGAAATGCATTTAAACAAGTGAGTATTTCAAGTGAAATGTCAACAATATTAGATTAATTTTTTGGGTTTTTTTTTTTTTTTTATTATTGCAAAAATGTTAATTGTTTTCAAATTTTCAAAATGGCTGACAAAATTGACGTTTTTTTTTTATTATTGTTTTTCAAATTCTCATGTTTTTTTTTTTTGTAAAATACATTTTGTTTTCTGTTCGTAAATAATTATTTGTAAAAAAATTAAAATGTTTTTTTTGTGTTATTTATTTGTTCTTTATTTTTTTTATATATATATATATATTTTTAATGTTAAAAATTAAATAATGAATAATTTTATTTCTCGGTTTCGTAATTTTGTGCAATTTTAAATATATATATATATGTAAATATTCGCAAAATTTTATCATGTGATTATTATTTTTGTTTTTAGTTTCTTTTTTACTTTGACTTTTTTTTTCCTTATATTTAATTTTCTTTTTCGTTTTTTTTTTATTTTTATTTTAATTTTAATTATTTGTTTAATTTATTTTCTCTATTGTGTAATTTTACAAAGTTTTATAATATTTTTCATTCCCGAAAGCTTAAAAAATAAATAAATAATTTGTTTATAATTAATTATATTATTATTAATAAATAATAATAATATTGTTAAAATAAAAATTATAATTATATTTATTTAAAGAGCAAATTACCTTTAATTATAATATTATTATTAATAATTATTATTTTATAATTATAATTATTATTAACTAGCAAAATTAAACGCGCGCCAAATTGAGTATTTAATTGTTTGTTATAAAGAAATTAAAGATTAATATTATCAATTATAATTTAATTTTTTAGAATATTATTACATATTAAATAATAATAATGAAAATTATATATGTTTACAGGCCTCGGATTATACGACTTTTTCCGACTTTTTTTTTCCAAAAATACAACTTTTATCGACTTATTTTAATAAAATGCGACATTTTTTTTTTACATTTAAAAAAAAAATGTAAATAAAATACATTTTTTTTTAGTATAAAATGTAGATCTTCTTCAGATCTTCTTCAATTCAATTATTTAACAAATTTTCAACTAAAATGATTCTTCACTAAATTAATTATTTTTAATAATTTTAATGAAATACATCACAAATTCAAATTATATCAAAATTATTTTTCAATTAAAATTTTTATGAAATTTAACAATTGTTTATAATTTAAAACAAAAAAAAAATCACAATAAAATTGAATTATTTTTTGAAAAATTTCAATTCAAAATAAACTAAAATTCAATTTTAATTAAAATTCAATTATTTTAAAAATTTTCAATTCAAAATCAACTAAAATTCAATTATTTTCCAAAATTTCAATTGAAAATGAACTAAAATTCAATTATTTTAAAAATTTTCAATTCAAAATCAACTAAAATTCAATTATTTTCCAAAAATTTCAATTGAAATTCAATTATTTTCCAAAATTTGCAATTTAAAATCAACTAAAATTCAATTATTTTAAATATTTTCAATCCAAAATCAAGTAAAATTCAATTACTTTCCAAAGTTTCAATTTAATATTAATTAAAATTCAATTATTGTCCAAAATTTCAATTCAAAATCAATTAAAATTCAATTATTTTCCAAAAATTTCAATTGAAAATGAACTAAAATTCAATTATTTTAAAAATTTTCAATTCAAAATCAACTAAAATTCAATTATTTTCCAAAAATTTCAATTGAAATTCAATTATTTTCCAAAATTTGCAATTTAAAATCAACTAAAATTCAATTATTTTAAATATTTTCAATTCAAAATCAACTAAAATTCAATTATTTTCCAAAATTTCAATTGAAAATGAACTAAAATTCAATTATTTTAAAAATTTTCAATTCAAAATCAACTAAAATTCAATTATTTTCCAAAATTTCAATTGAAAATGAACTAAAATTCAATTATTTTAAATATTTTCAATTCAAAATCAACTAAAATTCAATTATTTTCCAAAATTTCAATTGAAAATGAACTAAAATTCAATTATTTTAAAAATTTTCAATTCAAAATCAACTAAAATTCAATTATTTTCCAAAAATTTCAATTGAAATTCAATTATTTTCCAAAATTTGCAATTTAAAATCAACTAAAATTCAATTATTTTAAATATTTTCAATCCAAAATCAAGTAAAATTCAATTACTTTCCAAAGTTTTAATTTAATATTAATTAAAATTCAATTATTGTCCAAAATTTCAATTCAAAATCAATTAAAATTCAATTATTTTCCAAAAATTTCAATTGAAATTCAATTATTTTCCAAAATTTGCAATTTAAAATCAACTAAAATTCAATTATTTTAAATATTTTCAATCCAAAATCAAGTAAAATTCAATTACTTTCCAAAGTTTCAATTTAATATTAATTAAAATTCAATTATTGTCCAAAATTTCAATTCAAAATCAATTAAAATTCAATTATTTTCCAAAAATTTCAATTGAAAATGAACTAAAATTCAATTATTTTAAAAATTTTCAATTCAAAATCAACTAAAATTCAATTATTTTCCAAAAATTTCAATTGAAATTCAATTATTTTCCAAAATTTGCAATTTAAAATCAACTAAAATTCAATTATTTTAAATATTTTCAATTCAAAATCAACTAAAATTCAATTATTTTCCAAAATTTCAATTGAAAATGAACTAAAATTCAATTATTTCAAATATTTTCAATTCAAAATCAACTAAAATTCAATTATTTTCCAAAATTTCAATTGAAAATGAACTAAAATTCAATTATTTTAAAAATTTTCAATTCAAAATCAACTAAAATTCAATTATTTTCCAAAAATTTCAATTGAAATTCAATTATTTTCCAAAATTTGCAATTTAAAATCAACTAAAATTCAATTATTTTAAATATTTTCAATTCAAAATCAACTAAAATTCAATTATTTTCCAAAATTTCAATTGAAAATGAACTAAAATTCAATTATTTTAAAAATTTTCAATTCAAAATCAACTAAAATTCAATTATTTTCCAAAATTTCAATTGAAAATGAACTAAAATTCAATTATTTTAAATATTTTCAATTCAAAATCAACTAAAATTCAATTATTTTCCAAAAATTTCAATTGAAATTCAATTATTTTCCAAAATTTGCAATTTAAAATCAACTAAAATTCAATTATTTTAAATATTTTCAATTCAAAATCAACTAAAATTCAATTATTTTCCAAAATTTCAATTGAAAATGAACTAAAATTCAATTATTTTAAAAATTTTCAATTCAAAATCAACTAAAATTCAATTATTTTCCAAAAATTTCAATTGAAATTCAATTATTTTCCAAAATTTGCAATTTAAAATCTACTAAAATTCAATTATTTTAAATATTTTCAATTCAAAATCAACTAAAATTCAATTATTTTCCAAAATTTCAATTGAAAATGAACTAAAATTCAATTATTTTAAAAATTTTCAATTCAAAATCAACTAAAATTCAATTATTTTCCAAAATTTCAATTGAAAATGAACTAAAATTCAATTATTTTAAATATTTTCAATTCAAAATCAACTAAAATTCAATTATTTTCCAAAAATTTCAATTGAAATTCAATTATTTTCCAAAATTTGCAATTTAAAATCAACTAAAATTCAATTATTTTAAATATTTTCAATTCAAAATCAACTAAAATTCAATTATTTTCCAAAATTTCAATTGAAAATGAACTAAAATTCAATTATTTTAAAAATTTTCAATTCAAAATCAACTAAAATTCAATTATTTTCCAAAAATTTCAATTGAAATTCAATTATTTTCCAAAATTTGCAATTTAAAATCAACTAAAATTCAATTATTTTAAATATTTTCAATCCAAAATCAAGTAAAATTCAATTACTTTCCAAAGTTTCAATTTAATATTAATTAAAATTCAATTATTTTCCAAAATTTCAATTGAAAATGAACTAAAATTCAATTATTTTAAATATTTTCAATTCAAAATCAACTAAAATTCAATTATTTTCCAAAATTTCAATTGAAAATGAACTAAAATTCAATTATTTTAAAAATTTTCAATTCAAAATCAACTAAAATTCAATTATTTTCCAAAAATTTCAATTGAAATTCAATTATTTTCCAAAATTTGCAATTTAAAATCAACTAAAATTCAATTATTTTAAATATTTTCAATTCAAAATCAACTAAAATTCAATTATTTTCCAAAATTTCAATTGAAAATGAACTAAAATTCAATTATTTTAAATATTTTCAATTCAAAATCAACTAAAATTCAATTATTTTCCAAAATTTCAATTGAAAATGAACTAAAATTCAATTATTTTAAAAATTTTCAATTCAAAATCAACTAAAATTCAATTATTTTCCAAAAATTTCAATTGAAATTCAATTATTTTCCAAAATTTGCAATTTAAAATCAACTAAAATTCAATTATTTTAAATATTTTCAATTCAAAATCAACTAAAATTCAATTATTTTCCAAAATTTCAATTGAAAATGAACTAAAATTCAATTATTTTAAAAATTTTCAATTCAAAATCAACTAAAATTCAATTATTTTCCAAAATTTCAATTGAAAATGAACTAAAATTCAATTATTTTAAATATTTTCAATTCAAAATCAACTAAAATTCAATTATTTTCCAAAAATTTCAATTGAAATTCAATTATTTTCCAAAATTTGCAATTTAAAATCAACTAAAATTCAATTATTTTAAATATTTTCAATTCAAAATCAACTAAAATTCAATTATTTTCCAAAATTTCAATTGAAAATGAACTAAAATTCAATTATTTTAAAAATTTTCAATTCAAAATCAACTAAAATTCAATTATTTTCCAAAAATTTCAATTGAAATTCAATTATTTTCCAAAATTTGCAATTTAAAATCAACTAAAATTCAATTATTTTAAATATTTTCAATTCAAAATCAACTAAAATTCAATTATTTTCCAAAATTTCAATTGAAAATGAACTAAAATTCAATTATTTTAAAAATTTTCAATTCAAAATCAACTAAAATTCAATTATTTTCCAAAATTTCAATTGAAAATGAACTAAAATTCAATTATTTTAAATATTTTCAATTCAAAATCAACTAAAATTCAATTATTTTCCAAAAATTTCAATTGAAATTCAATTATTTTCCAAAATTTGCAATTTAAAATCAACTAAAATTCAATTATTTTAAATATTTTCAATTCAAAATCAACTAAAATTCAATTATTTTCCAAAATTTCAATTGAAAATGAACTAAAATTCAATTATTTTAAACATTTTCAATTCAAAATCAACTAAAATTCAATTATTTTCCAAAAATTTCAATTGAAATTCAATTATTTTCCAAAATTTGCAATTTAAAATCAACTAAAATTCAATTATTTTAAATATTTTCAATCCAAAATCAAGTAAAATTCAATTACTTTCCAAAGTTTCAATTTAATATTAATTAAAATTCAATTATTGTCCAAAATTTCAATTCAAAATCAATTAAAATTCAATTATTTTCCAAAAATTTCAATTGAAAATGAACTAAAATTCAATTATTTTAAAAATTTTCAATTCAAAATCAACTAAAATTCAATTATTTTCCAAAAATTTCAATTGAAATTCAATTATTTTCCAAAATTTGCAATTTAAAATCAACTAAAATTCAATTATTTTAAATATTTTCAATTCAAAATCAACTAAAATTCAATTATTTTCCAAAATTTCAATTGAAAATGAACTAAAATTCAATTATTTTAAAAATTTTCAATTCAAAATCAACTAAAATTCAATTATTTTCCAAAATTTCAATTGAAAATGAACTAAAATTCAATTATTTTAAATATTTTCAATTCAAAATCAACTAAAATTCAATTATTTTCCAAAAATTTCAATTGAAATTCAATTATTTTCCAAAATTTGCAATTTAAAATCAACTAAAATTCAATTATTTTAAATATTTTCAATTCAAAATCAACTAAAATTCAATTATTTTCCAAAATTTCAATTGAAAATGAACTAAAATTCAATTATTTTAAAAATTTTCAATTCAAAATCAACTAAAATTCAATTATTTTCCAAAATTTCAATTGAAAATGAACTAAAATTCAATTATTTTAAATATTTTCAATTCAAAATCAACTAAAATTCAATTATTTTCCAAAATTTCAATTGAAAATGAACTAAAATTCAATTATTTTAAAAATTTTCAATTCAAAATCAACTAAAATTCAATTATTTTCCAAAAATTTCAATTGAAATTCAATTATTTTCCAAAATTTGCAATTTAAAATCAACTAAAATTCAATTATTTTAAATATTTTCAATCCAAAATCAAGTAAAATTCAATTACTTTCCAAAGTTTCAATTTAATATTAATTAAAATTCAATTATTTTCCAAAATTTGCAATTTAAAATCAACTAAAATTCAATTATTTTAAATATTTTCAATCCAAAATCAAGTAAAATTCAATTACTTTCCAAAGTTTCCATTTAATATTAATTAAAATTCAATTATTGTCCAAAATTTCAATTCAAAATCAATTAAAATTCAATTATTTTGAAAAATTTTAATTGAAATTTTAAAATTTCTATTCAAAATTAATTATCCAAATTTTCAATCAATTAAATTATTATCCAAAATTTCAATTAAAATTCAATTATTTCCCAAAAATTTTGCATTTAAAATAAACTGAAATTCAATTATTTTCCAAATTTAAAATCAAATAAAATTTCATTATTCTCAAAAAATTTGAATTCAAAATTAATTGAATTTTCAATAATTTGAATTTAAAAGCATCTAAAATTTAATTATTTCTAAAATTTTCCATCGAAATTTTTTTTTTTTTGAAATTTAATAATTTCAATTATAACTCTTAAGGAAATTCAATTATTTTTAACTATTTTAATAATATTCTTTGAAAATTCAACTATCTAAAAAGCATTTTTCAATTAAAAATGATTTTCAAATTATTGTATTTTTTCCGCATTTTCTAATAAATTTTTAGTGAAATCATCAAAAAATTTTAATTACAAAACACTTAAAGTTTCAATTAATTTCAAAAATCTCAATTTTAAATCTTTGAAAATTCAATTAAATTTAAAAAATCTTTTTCCAAAAATTGTTTGATAAATTATTTTTAGTTCTGTAAAATTTAATAATTGTTTGAAAATTAATAATATCTTTTGAAATTTAATTATTTCTAAAAAATTTCAACTTAAACCCTTCGAAAAGGATTATTATTAAAAAAAAAAAATTTTTTTATTCAACAATCTGTAAAATATTTTTGTTAAATTGAAAAACAAATCCACTTTTTTTTTGGAATATAAATCGACTAAAAGGACTTTTTTGTGTCTTTAAGTTGATTCGAGGCCTGTGTTTTTATAATTAATATTTCAATAGGTATTCGTTGGCCTCTGGTACCTTAAAAATAAATTTTGAAAAATAAATTTTTTTCAAATTACTATCTTGTACGAAATTTCCTGGCGCATCTTTTTTCTCATCATAAATTTTTTGTAATTGTATACAATTTTTGAATGAATATACAACTTTAAAAAAAATTTCGTTGGTAAACGTTATGTACTTCAGCTTTGTGAATTGAATTTTTGAATTGTAATTATTATTAAAAAAAAATATATATATAATATTTGTTTAGAAAATATATGTAAAAAAAGAAGAGAAAAAAAAAAGATTTGCAAAAAATTTTTATAGGAAAATAAATTATTATTTTTGAAAATTTAATTTTGTTTAATTTAAAAAAAATTAAGGTTCGAGCATTGCACGTGTCAGCGGGACAAAGTGGAGAAGCAAGATTAAAAACATTTTCTATTTATCGATGGAATCCTGATAAACCAGATGAAAAACCTTACATGAAGGAGTATAAGGTTGATTTAAACACGTATGTTTTTTTTTTTTTAATTTTCAAATTTAAAAATTAAAAATTATTTTTAAAAAATTTTTTAAATAAAATTATTTTTTTTTCGTTGTTTTATTTAAAAAAATTTTAAATTAGATTTAAAAAAAAGGTAAATAAAAGTAAAAAAAAATGGTTTTTCTTCAAATTTTCATAGATGCGGTCCCATGGTTTTGGATGCATTAATTAAAATAAAAAATGAAATCGATCCAACTTTAACATTTCGTCGATCGTGTCGCGAGGGAATTTGTGGATCTTGCGCCATGAATATTGGAGGATCAAATACTCTCGCTTGCATTAGGTTTGAGAAAATAATTTCTATTTAAAAAAAAAAAAAAAAAATTGAAAAAGTATATTAATTATTGTCAATAATTTAGATTTTTATTTAATTGAAAAAAATTCAATTATTGTCAGTAATTTACAAATTTTTATTTAATTAAAAAAAAAAAAAAATAATAATTGAATTACTGTCAGTAATTTCTATTTTTATTTAATTTTAAAAAAATGGAATTATTGGCAGTAAACATTTTTATTTAATTAAAAAAAAGTTGAATTATTGGCAGTAACTTACATTTTTATTTAATTAAAAAAAAAATGGAATTATTGACAGTAATTTACATTTTTATTTAATTTTTTTAAAAAATGGAATTATTGGCAGTAATTTACATTTTTATAAAAATTAAAAAAAAAGAAAAGAAAATTTATTTTCCCAATTTTTACAGCAAAATTGACTCAAATTTGAGTAGTGCTAGTAAAATTTATCCATTGCCGCACATGTATATTGTTAAGGATTTAGTGCCGGATATGACGAATTTTTATAATCAATATCAAAGTATTGAACCATGGCTTCAACGTTCAGATGCAAAGAAAGAAGCAACTCAACAATATCTTCAAAGTACTGAAGATCGTCAAAAATTGGTTAGTATTATTTTCATAGGACTTCAAAAATTAAAAAAAAAAAAAAAAAAAAAGAAAAAAAAACCAAAATTATAAATTAAATAAAATAAAATAATAATAAATATAATTTATTAACAAATAAATAATAAAATATTTATTAACTAATTAAATTTATTAAAAATTATTAATAAATTAAAAATACTTTATTAAAAATAAAAAAAATCGACTTTTCTTGTAAATGTAAATATACTTTTGCTCACTAAAGTCGATCCAAGGGCTTTTAATTAATAAAATAAAATTGAAGGGAAAAAATAATTATTAAAAGAATCCTTTTTTTTTTAATCTTTCAGGATGGATTGTACGAATGCATTTTGTGTGCATGTTGCAGTACCTCCTGTCCATCTTATTGGTGGAATGGAGATAAATATCTTGGTCCTGCCGTTCTTATGCAGGTAATTTAAAAAAAAAAAAAATTCATTAAGAAAATGCAGACCTCCAGCAAAAAAAAATAATAAAAATTTAATATTATTTTTTGAAAGAAAAAAAAACTCAATTTTCATGAAAAAAAATTTTAAACCTAAATTTATTTGTTTATACAATTTGTATAGGATAAAAATCACAAGAAATAGATTTTTTTCTCATCTTGGAAAAGTATTTAAAAAATATTTATCATTTTTTTTTTTTTTTTTTTTTTTTTAAAGGCATACAGATGGATTATCGATTCTCGTGACACACAATCCGATAAACGTTTGGAAAAATTAAGGGATCCATTTTCTGTTTTTCGATGTCATACAATTATGAATTGCACGCGAACTTGTCCAAAGGTAAATATAATTATTGATTCCAATTAATTTTATTTATTACATTAATATTAATATTTCAAATTAATAAAATACGATCTAAAGAAAACAAAAAAATTTATTTTCAAACACTAGCAATTTTCAATAAATTCAAAAAAAATTAAGTCGAAAACAAAAATTTTAACATTAAAATATATATTAAATACTAATAATAATTAAATATTAATTTTTTTTAATTAATTAATTATTTATTCATTAAAGAAAATTTAGATTTTTAGAACATAATCATTCGTTCTAAAAAAAATTGATAACAGTTTATAAAAAAAAAAAATAATAATTATCGTAAATATGAAAAAAAACAAAATTAAAATTTTCAGGGCTTAAATCCCGGAAAAGCAATTGCGGAGATAAAAAAATTGTTGGGTAACGTTATTCAAAAACCAGCGCCAGGTCTCAATACAACGGCTCTTCAAAGTTAAATTTTAAAAAAGAAAACCGAAAAATAGTAATTGTTTTTTGTAATTTCCATAAATAATCAAATAATTAAATGAAATTTTCTTTTTTTCAAAGTCATTTTTGTTATATTATTTGATGACTTGTAATTTCTATTTATATCAATATTATATAATGAAAAAGAAAAACAAAAACTGAAATATTTCAATTTATATATAATAATAATTAGTATTAGATTGTAAATGATGTATTGTTAAAAATACAATTGAAATGCAAAAATTGTTTATATATTCGTTTATTTAGTACGAAATTTTCAATAATAATAATAATATTAACAACGATGCGAAATACATATATCTATATATATTTATTTTACTACTAATATAGAAATTGAATTTAGAATTATTGAGAGAGGAGTAAATTTTTTTTTTTTTGTTAAAAATGTGAGAAATATTTTTGATTTTTTTTTCATTATTTATTAAATTTTTTGTTATATTTCCTTGGGAATATATTTTGATATTAATTCACTAAATTTTTTTTTTTAATTATAGTAAATTAAATAAATGAATTTAAATAATTTACAAATTAATTAAATAACAATTTAGACGAATTTTTTTCGGAATTAGCATTTAACAAAATTTTTTTTAACACAACCATTTTATTTAATCAAATTTTTAGCCACCGGCAGAAATTCGAATTCATCGAATTTCAAATTTTTTTTGTGAATTTTTTATTTGTAACCAATTTTTAAATTTGTCCAAATTTTTATTTGTAACGAATTTTAAATTTCTCCGAATTTTTATTTGTAACAAATTTCAAATTTGTCCGAATTTTCGAAGACATCGAATTTTCATTTGTCCGAAATTGCAAACGTCCGTACAAACATTCGAGATTTCGGACAAATGAAAAATTTTGGCGTTCGAAAAAAATTCGAAAAAATACAAATAAGAAAATTAGTAAATTAATTACAAAGGCAGTTATTATTTAACTAACTAATTAATAGGAATTATTATTATTAACAATAATATATAATTATATTAATAGTCAAAATCTCGGTAAATATACAATATCAGATTTAATATACAACAACATTGATTATTTTCTTTGACAAGAAAAATAAAAAAAAAAAAATTACAAATATTCCCATAGATAATAGAAATAAATTTTGTGACATTTTTTTTTTTTTAATCTTACACGGCAAGCTTTCAGCAAATTTTATTTATATTATCTCACGGTCATTTTAAGATTGTAAATTTAGATTTAAAAAAAATTTAAATTTACTTTATTTAAGATAAAAGATCGATTGATATATGCACTTCAAAGAATTATCATCGATTTATGATAATGTTTTATAGTGCGAAAGGCCTTGGAAAAAAATTATTTTTTTTTTTTTATTTATCTATATATATATATATAATAAGAAAATTTATGGCTCGGAGGCCATTCGAATTCTCGCTGTTTCCCTTGATTTATTGTGAATTTCCGCTGTTCGAAGTGTAATTCCGAAAATATCTTCGTGATATCTATTTTCGTCCTGGAAATAAATTTTTATTATTAATTAATTTATTATTGCCAAGTAACTAATTAATTTAAGTAATTAACTAATTAATTAAATTCAGTAATTAATTAAAATAATTAACTAATTAATTAAATTCAGTAATCAATTAATTAGTTACTTCAAGCAATTAAGGAAATTAGTTAAATAATTTAAATAATTAATTAATTAGAGTAATTAATTTTGAAAAAAAAATTTTCTGCTTTGGAAAAATTATCATTTACCCTCAAAGAAAGCATGTAAGTTTCAACTTCTTTGTCCATCATTTGACCGTGAGTTTGTATAATTTGCTTTAATGTCTGATAGACATCTTCAGCCATTGTACAATCGCCACAAACATAAAAATGCCCTCGACGATGGACCAACATATCATAAATCTGTGGCGCTTCCGCTTGTATACAATCCTGAACATAGGTCTTCAAAAAAAAAAAAAATTTATTTTCATTACTAAAGTGCCAAAAAAATTTAAATAAATTTATATTTTTAATTTAAAAAAAAATTGTAAATAAATAATTTATAAAAAATATATTTATTTTTTTGCAGAAAGAAAAAAAAATTTTTTAATCACATGCAAAAATAAATAGGCAAAAAAAAAACACCTTTTTTTCACCATCTTCTCGCGATAATGCAAGAAATACTTTATCCAAAACTCCAGAATCTAACATATCCTTTTTCTCCTGTCTATAGAGATCTAAATCATTTTTTCTACATCCAAAGAAGAGCCATATTTTTCCAAATTCATCTGGAAAAAAAAAATTTAATTCAATCTATTTCTAAAAAAATCTTCCGCCATATTGGATCCGCCATTTTGATTTTTTTTTCTTTTTAATACACACCTGTGTCTTGTGCCTTAATTTGAGCTAATCGATGATGCCAAAATCCTCTGAATGGCGCAATTCCCGTTCCGGGACCAACCAAAATCATTGGTGCTTTTTTATCAAGAGGCATATAAAAATTAGGCGCACTGTGAAATGAAATAAAATTCTAAAATTTCCTTCTTATTAATTTTTTTTAAAAAGAAAAAAATTGAATTTTCTCACCTGCGTACAAAAACGTATAACGGCTCACCGTCAGAGATTTCGCTTAAATAATTCGAGGCCACTCCATAATGCACAGGACCTGAACCACCTTACAAGTGATAGAAATTTTAATCAATTGAAAATGGAACAGAGAAAAACTTGAATAAGGAAATAATAATTATAAAACAATCATAAAACCTATAATTTTTTTTGCCAACATAAAAACATTTTCTAAAAAAATTTTCTGCTTCAGAGAAGAATTTCTAAATACCTTGAGTTTTATATTGAACGACAGCAACAGTTAAATGAATTTGTCCTTCGTGGACCATTGGCGATGAGGAGATGCTGTAAAATCTCGGTTGCAACGGAGTTAAATGAAGCACAAGAACCGGCGCATTTGGCTTAACAGAAGGAAATTCTTCTAAAGCTTCGAGAAGATTTGGAAAATTCCAATGTCGCCAATCTTCATAAGCTGCGGAATCCTTAACAGAGAGGAGAAAAAGAAAACATTTTTTTCCTCATTTCTTTTTTTTACGTCAATAAAAATTTTATTTTCATCTATACAACTTACAGTGGCCAGAAGATTAAGTCGAGCCTGTTCCTTTGGATTGGTGGCAATTGAGGCGAAATAACGAAGAAGATTAGGCGAGGGTGGTGTTGTAATATCCAAAAATCGTGTAAATAATGTTCTCAATGAATTGGGTAAATAACGATCGTGTGGCAGCCAACTTTTAACAATTCCATTTGGTGTATGCGATTGTTTTTGCATTTGTAATTCAATTGGTACATCAGCCTCGAATGGTGAATCTAAACATTTTAAAATACCTTCGACAAGCTCCTGTCGATTACAAGCGAATACACCTAAATGATCACCGGGTTTGTAAATTATTTCCATACTCGTTAAATCGTCTAATTCCAAGAGGAGTGTCTTTCCCCTAATAGAAAAGAAAATTGAAGATTTATTAATGCGCCGAGAAGAATTGCTCAAATGTAAAATTTTTTTTCACTATGACGTCTCAAAAGGGGGAAAATAAGAATAATCAGAACTAATCTTATAAAAAAAAACGAATTTAGAAGTTTATATCTACTTTTGGAAGTTTAAAATGTATATCTAGAACCAGGGTAGTTGACTACTTGGAGAAGTAGAGGACGTCCCCTTCTGTAGGGTTTTGGTACGAACTTTGGGGCCGTTTAAAAAATACGTAACGCTCTCAGGAAGTAGGGGGAGGTCAATTTTTTGTTAGGAGAAAAAATGGTACTAATGTATGCAACAAAAAGAAGGTGTGAAATTTCAAAAAATCGTTACGTATTTTTTGAACCTAATTGACTTTTCCGTTTGCTTCGGCTCTTTTATGTACAGGTATATCCACACAGACCCCATATGGTCAGATTTAAAATATATTTCTCAAATTCTGTATAGCTCAGATTTTTTAATAGACAACCTTTTTTTTCCCTATTTTCACAAAAAAATAGTTTACAAAGACATAATTAGCTAACAAAATTACGATTTAAAATTTTGTTAGCAAAATTATAAACAAACTATTTTTAGCAAAAAAATACAAAACTTACCCAGAATGAATGTTGCTTAAATTTGTTTTTCGAAGCATATTACAAGTGGTCACGTTTCTATTGTGACATTTGCTTAAAGCTGAAAAATAAAATTACAATTTTTTATTAAACATATTATTTTCAATTGGCAGAATTTTTTTTTTCTTCTCTAAATTAACCTTTTGCTAGTGGTTGAGGATCGGCTTCGACAAATCGAACTGTCGAAGCAGATACTGCATCAGCACCTAGGGAAAGTGCAACTTCCAATAAAGTTTCATCATCGTCCAAACAAAATGTTTCGCATGCCACCTAAAATTAGAGGAACAAATTTTATTCAACATATTTTATTACAAAAAAAAAAGAAAACTTGAAATATAACAAAAATAAGTAATAGAGAAAAGAAAAAGAACTAAACTTTTGAAATGTTTCGCATGCCACCTGAAATTATAAATAAACAAAATTAAAAATTTTCTTTTATTATTATAAAAGAAGAAATGAAAAAGGTAACTCAAAATGATAAAAGGAATAAAAGAAATAGAAAATTTGTAAAAATTTTATTAACTGCAAAAGTGTCGTGGGCCCATTTTCTAAATGCTTGTTCTTGTCCACACATTTCGTCGCCTTGGGCCAATCGCAGCAAACGTTCACCACCTAATTCACCCAATAAATTGTCAACGTATCGTCCAAATGCGCAAAAATTTGGATACGCTGACGAACCTAAAGCAAAGACTGCGAATCTAGAAAAAAATTTCAAAATATAAGACAATAATTAAAATATAATAGACTGTTTAAAATTTCGTTTTTTGAATTATATCTTACCTTACATTGCTGAGAGCACCGAAAGTATCATCAACTTGTGAATCAGTGGTCGAACCCCTTAATGAATCTAAACGATCCAATTTCTTTAAATTTCCCACCTCAGTTTGACTGTTTGCTTTTATAAATGACTTGGAAGTCGTGAGACTGAAATTTGATTATTTTCAATTACTATAATCAATTTTTTAAAATTATATTACAATGAAACTATGTTAAAACCAATACGTAATAAATAAAATTCGCATAATTCTTACTTTAATTTATCGCTATTTGTATAAGTTTCGTTCATTTTCATTGCGTATAAATTTTGTGCGAATGCCTAAAACAATTTTTTCAATTAATTACATGAATAATTATTATTGCAATTAAAACAGAAAATTGATAATAAAAATTTAATTATTTTTACCTCTCCATTTTCTGGGGGATCTCCGTTTCCAAAAGTGGAAGTAACCACAAGAAGAAGAGCCTCATGTTCAATATTACTAATATCGTAGTCCGACATACTTAATACCTAAGGAAACAAAGAGGAATGATATTTATAACTAAAATTTAAATAATAAATTATACAAATTTTATTTTTACTTGAGAATGAAATGCGTGCCCAAGAAGTTCTCCAAGTTTTTCCGCATACATTTGCGAGGTACCAGTTTCAGTAGCAAACAAAACTGTTGCCTTTATTCTTCTCGATAGTGCACGACCAAATAATTTTGAAGTAAATTTTACAGCTCTGAAAAAACAATTCTTATTTTAAAAATAATTAGAATTTTTTTTTTTTCTTAAAATTTTGTTAAAAAGAAAAAAAATATTTTTAACCTCGCAATTTGTTTGAAATGAAATTTCCTCCTAGGTTTCTTGGAAATACATCTCTTGTCCCTTCCTTTTTTCCAAATATGCGTTTTCCATGCGGGATCCTGCGATAAATTTTATTAAATTCTCGAGAAAATTTATCACAAAAATATATATAACATGGAAAAACTATAAAGAAAAAAAATATTAAACCTGAGCATCGTATGATGGCTTTAAATGATAGAGAGCCATTTCCTGGTGAAAAACTGGTGTCGCCGAACCAGAAACTGGAGGAACAATCCAAACCCAATCGGCAGGACAACCATTTCTCAATCGCATCTCATTTTCATAATGCTTCATAAAAGATTCCGAAGCCGTGTGATGGTCAACAATTGTCACATTTTTCATCTAAAAAAGTTTATTAACAATATACTATAAACGTTTGATTGGTCAAATGGATTATAAGAAAGGTCAAAATAATTTTTTACTTTGGAAAAATTTTGAAAAATAAATTTTTGAGATAATAGCTCCAGCATACCACCAAAGTCTTAACCCGGGAGTCTCCAACAAAACAAGTATAGGGCGCTTTTTGATTCGTCAAGCGGAAGCTGAACTAACTCTCAAAATAAATTTTTGGGGTTTTTTAAGACTTCAAGATAATCGTCCTAGAAAAGTACCAAATTCTTAATACTGAAGTTGTCTACAAAAAATGTCTGACAAATTTTTTGCTGGGTCCAGCGGATGCTGCGCTACACTCAAAAATATTTTAAAGAAACTTTCGAAAAATTAAACTTTCGAGATAATCGTTCGGGAACACCGTCCGACACGATTTTTCACACACGAAAAAATCAATGATTTTCAGAAACTAGGACCAAAAAAAAGATACCCGTGTCTGGCCGTTTTGCTAGATCAGGTCATTTTTTGCTTTTAGGGGTAAAAGCAACCCTTAAATGAAAGGTGATAGGAGATCTTGTACAAATTAATAATTTTTTATGAAACCTGGTATCTCGGGGTTTTCCGGGTCGCTTGGTGCGTATCTGATGTCAGACTTTCAAAATTCAAAATAGCGGATCCAATATGGCTGTCGAAATTTATAAAAATTCACCAATTCATTTGAAAGTTGTTACTTTGGGGTTTTTTGTGTCGCTGATCACGAATATGATGTCAGATTTTCAAAATTCAAAATGGCGGATTCAATATGGCGGTCGAAATTTATAAATATTAATTATTTTTTATAAAACTTTGTATCTAGGGGTTTTTGGAGTCGCTAAGTACGAATCTGAAGTCAGATTTTTAAAATTCAAAATAGATCTAATAATTTGGAAGATTAGAAAAAAACATATAAAAAATAAAAATTTTTACATATGTGTTTTTTGTATATTGGACACTTTTTTAATGACAAAACAGGCTTTTTAGTAAGTAAGACTATTTTTATTAGATAACAGTAATAAGCTCAAGTAAGATGAATTTAAAGATGTGAAGTGACTGTTTAAAACTGCTGTGCAAAGTAAAAAAGTCTACAATTGTCATTTGTTTTATGTACTATTTTCCGTAACTATGCAACTAAAATCGAACATATGAAAAACTGTCTTATCTTCCACATTATTAGATCTATTTTGAATTTTAAAAATCTGACTTTAGATTCGTACTCAGCGACCCCAAAAACCCCTAGATACGAAGTTTTATAAAAAATAATTAATATTTATAAATTTCGACCGCCATATTGAATCCGCCATTTTGAATTTTGAAAATCTGACATCGTATTCGTGATCAGCGACACAAAAAACCCCAAAGTAACAACTTTCAAATGAATTGGTGAATTTTTATAAATTTCGACAGCCATATTGGATCCGCTATTTTGAATTTTGAAAGTCTGACATCAGATACGCACCAAGCGACCCGGAAAACCCCGAGATACCAGGTTTCATAAAAAATTATTAATTTGTACAAGATCTCCTATCACCTTTCATTTAAGGGTTGTTTTTACCCCTAAAAGCAAAAAATGACCTGATCTAGCAAAACGGCCAGACACGGGTATCTTTTTTTTGGTCCTAGTTTCTGAAAATCATTGATTTTTTCATGTGTGAAAAAAAAGTTGAATTTTGTAGGACGGTGGAATACCGACAATAAAATAGGGAAAAAGTTTCGAACAAAAAATGTATGGCGCACTTTTAGATTGGTCCAGCGGATGCTGAGCTACACTCAGATAAATTTTTTGAAAAATTTCGAAAAATTAAATTCACTAGATAATCTTTCGGGAATACCGCCATAGTGATTAGAAGAAAGTTCTGAACAAAAAATGTATGGCGCACTTTTTGATTGGTCCAGCGGATGCTGAGCTACACTCAAAAATAATTTGGAAAAATTTTCAAAAAATTAAATTCGCTAGATAATCTTCCGGGAATACCGCCATAGTGATTAGAAGAAAGTTCTGAACAAAAAATGTATGGCGCACTTTTTGATTGGTCCAGCGGATGCTGAGCTACACTCAAAAATAATTTGGAAAAATTTTCAAAAAATTAAATTCGCTAGATAATCTTTCAGGAATACCGCCATAGTTATTAGAAGAAAGTTCTGAACAAAAAATATATGGCGCACTTTTTAATTGGTCCAGCGGATGCTGAGCTACACCAGAAAACAAATTTGGAAAAAATTTAGAAAAATTAAATTTACGAGATAATTGTTGCGGAATATTGCCAATAAAATAAGGAAAAAGTTTCGAACAAAAAATGTTTGGTGTATCTAGCTGTGCTAGGTTGGAATAAATTTCTGATTTTTGAAAAATTAAAATATATATTCTTTTCATCTTCGCTTAAAAAAAATTGTAAATATATTTTACCTGAAAACTATGAAGAACGGCAACGTTAGCCTCAATCATGGCTTTGTCTTTCCAGAGGGATATTGGTGTTCGCGTATCTAATCCCATGTGTGTTGCTATTGTCTGGAAAATGTGTGCGTTGTCTTCTCAATTATATCTTTATTTGAAAAAAAAAAAATTCTAAATTATTTTTTGTTTGTAAATACCTCTGTTAGATTGTATCGTCCCATGTCACAAAGATCCCGGGCCCCTATTTCTGTACTCATATACCAGCCATTAAATGGTGCTGCTGTAAATTCAAGACCTCCACAATCGAAAACCATTCCCGAAACTGCTGGTACTGCGTACCATTTGAGTCCCAATTTTTCAAACCATTCATATCTAATAAAATTCCCCAAAAACAATTTTCAAAAAAAATAATTTCACTTAAAATATTTTTAAATTTAATTTTTTATTTTTTAAGGCAGTTTTAATAATTTAAAAAGAAAACTCACGTTGGATGAACGAGTGGCACCTCAAGAATTAATTCAGCGGGAATATCAAACCATTCGGGATCGTGTCCATTGGCTGATAAAACTAAGGGTAATACGTCAAATTTCGTACGTGGTCCTTTCCATCCTAATTTTAAGCATAGCTATGCAAAATGAATTATTAAATGAAAAATTTACCAGGAACAAAATTTTCATTTTCATGGGATCAAATTAGTTCATACATTAAACGTTAGTAATAGTTAAATATTTAGTAACTCTTACCTCAGTAAATTCAAGATTTACTGGATCACCAATAATCGTTCCATCCTCCAATTTATAGGCCGCATAACTTATTAATTGTTGATTCCAAACACGAAAATCATGTTTTCCATCGGTTCGTTGTGGAAAAATTGTTATAGCCGATCTTAACGGACAAAATTTCACAATAAAAAAATATTTTTAATTTTCAAAATTTATTTAAAAAGATCAATTTTCTTTATCCAATTATTTACCTTATGTTTCCTTTGTTTGTGCTGTATTTAATATGATTGCAAAGTGCCTCAAACATTCCACTCGTTGTTGTTACGTAACGACAATCGAAAACCTTTTAATTAAACAATAAACACCCTTTTTAAAAAAAAAAATAAAAAAATAAGCCAACAGTAATAATAATTTATAACAGTGGTAATTTTCATTATTTAAACTTCCCGCCACTTGAAATCCATTCTGGCAGAAAATTTGAATATGAAAATACTTTTCGTTAGAATTATTTAAGAAATTAATACAAAACCAATATGAGATTTTAGTGATTTACTTGTAATTTTGACCACTGAATTCGACCAATACATCGCGCAGCATTTCGCCATGCTAATTTGGCGCCAAAAACAAGTTCCGTTTCCGTTAATTGATAAGTACCAAGTGCCATTACTTCCTTTTGTACGCACTCCCATCGTGATCTATGCGCTTCACTACTTAATCTACAATGAATATAATAGCCAAATAAATATTTATTTGATTCAAATAACTATTTATTTGATTCAAATAAATTTTTGTTTGATTCAAACAAATTTTTATTTGTTTCAAATAAATTTTTATTTACGCCAAATAAATGGGCTATTAGGCTCTGAGACAAATATACATTTATTTAATTCAAATAAATATTATATTTGGTTCAAATAAAACATTTCTCTGGATGTGTTTATGTAATTTCTAAAAATAAAAAAATTTGCCTTCTAATGGATGTGAAATATTGTTCCAAAAAATCTTTCGCATGATTTAAAATGTCTTCTTTGCTTCGGGGCTCAGTACCATGAAACGGAAGTGCCATAACACTTCCCATACAAACATGGCTGGAACATAAGGTTTTCTGAAAATAAAAAAAATTTAATTTTTTTTATTTCATCCAATTGTCTCTTCTGCTTTATAATATTTTATTTTTAATTCTATTTCGCTCGTTTTTCTATTTAAAAAAATAAAATTATGATTTGAAAATAAAATTGAAAATTTTATCACAGTTAATATTGAAACGTGATTTTCATGAAAAAAACAACACTCGAGATAATTATTCTAATAAAAACCATAACTAATTGCGAAAATAAGAAAGATAATTCATCTTCATGACTTATCTTGAAGTTAAAGAATTAAAACCGTGAAATTTGATATTTTCAATTTTTGAAGATAAAATGATGAATAATTGTAAAATATTAGTTGATTGGTTTATTCTAATGGGAAATTCCTTAACGTCTGTTGAGTCAACCAATCATAGTTTGACAATATTCGATACAGTATCGATCAAATGTAAAAAGCTGTGTAAACAAACCCTAACACAAATTCAGGGTTGGGAAACGAAATGTCGCGAAAGTGTGTGTTTTCTTTTCATTAGGGTACATTAACAAGGGTCAGATTATCAAAATAGACTTTTCAACCCAATTATTTAGTCTCTCGTGTGCGGCAAATATTATATACATACACACTAATTGACTAAATTCCAGAAATCAATTAATCAACAATAATTGAAAATTTTTTTGGATCATTTCATACTTGTTAAAAATAAATATATACTTAAAATAAAAAAGATAAAAAAAAAGTGAAATCGAGTAGGTCACGTGCGGATTAGAAAATGATTAACAGCATGTGACTATGTTAACAGTCACAAGATCACCGTAATATTAATTTCCTAATCGGATTTCTCCTATACGCAATATTTAATAAATTAGGCAAAAATATTTGGATTTTTTTTAACAATTTTCAAAAAATTTTTACACTTCTCTATAAAATAAATAACAATTTTTAATTTCGCGAATAATTTCTTCTAAATTTTCATTTATTTTCGATCCTCGTAAATTAAAAAAAAAAAATTCAATAATTTTCGCTAAGCTCTTTAATTAAAAAATTTTATTAAAATTAATAATTACTACAATATTTAATTGTTTTTGTGATTTATGAAATGTAAATTTTTTTTATTTAAATATACAATTTTTCTGCAATATTAAAGTTCTTTTTAAAATAATAATTTAAAAAAAAATGACAGGAACCATATAAAAAAAATGTTTATTTTATAATAATAATTTGTTAATTAATTTTTTATTAATCAATTTAATTTTTATTTTGTAATTTATTAAATTTTTAATTTAATTCATTTTCATTAATTTATTATTTGCTTTTTGTTTTTTTATTCTAAAACTGAAATTGAGAAAAAAATAAACGTATTCTCACGTCACATGTTTTATAAAGAATTCGCGAAATTTTATTTCAAAAATTCTTGAATAGACTTTAATGAGGACCTTACAATAATTATACACAGTGACCCAATTTCAAAAATACCCCCCATTATCATTTAAAATACTGAAGAATGTAATATTGAAAATTGTTCGCTCAAAATCCTATATAATTTTACTTTAATTTTTTTTTTACAATCGACAGTTAGAAAAATGTAAAAATAAAAGAAAAATCATTTACAAAAAAAAATCTGCTAATTTCGCAGATATAATTAAATATTGGAGTGGTCCGATATTACTCAGGTATTTCCCCTATATTGACAAATATAATATAATGTAATATAATATTATATTAATATTTGTCGATAATAATAATAATAATAATAATAATAATAATAATAATAATAATAACGTTCAAAAGCCGAAAGGCATATCAACTATGAATAATAATAATAATGTTTGTGAACTTATAATGTTAACTTATAATTAAATATTAATTAATTTTTGAAATATTAATATATTAATTTTGAAAATGTAATTAATTTTTTTTTTAACGTATAATTTTTCTGCCATTAATATAATTATTTATGTAATATAATTTTTTAAATAAGTTCTTCTTGAACTAAAGGAAATTTTTTTTTGTAATTTTGTAAGCCTGTACATTGTAATTAAATAAATAATTAACAATATAAATTGTATCATTATAAAAAAATTATATATATATATATACGAAAAATCAAAAGGAAAATTTATTTAAAAATCGTATTTTAAAAATTTGAAAAAAAAATAATTTTTATTTTTACTCACCACAGCACTTTTAGGATGAAGTGAATCGAACGCCTCAGTTTTATAGATAAGATTTCTCAATTTTGTGGGTTTTTTCATTGATGCAGGTTCGTGGTCCTTCATTGTAGAAATTTAATTTAATTTTTTTTTGAAAAATTACCCGTTTATTTATAAATAAATAAATAAAAATTGGAAGATTACTTTTCTTTTTTTTTTCTAAAAAAAAAAATTTATTTTTCGTTTCTTTTTCTTTTTTTTGCAACGTGACTTCGTTTGACGAAGTTCGAAAGACCACTGATTTGCGAGAATAATTTTCTTCGAGTGTGGATCTACAGCATCCTGCCCTCTCACCTATGTGTAAGCTCCTCGCGACTCCGCAATTGTTCCAAGAGAAAGAGACAGAGAGAGAGGGGTTTTCACAGCGAATCGACAATTTCTAGAGCCCGAGGGCTCATCCCTTTTTTTGTTATCAAATAATAATAATAATAATAATAATAATAATAATAATAATGATAAAAAAATAATAATAATAAATATAAATATATTATAAATATATTATATAATAAACATAATATAAATAAAATATAATAAAATAAACTGGTTAATAAATATAATAATTAAGAAAGTTAAAAAAAATAATTAACTTCTAAATAATTATATTTTTTAAATTGTTTTTTATAATAATAATAATAATAATAATAAAATAAAGCAAATAAAATAATAACAATAAAATATTATTCTTCACATTATATTTGTTTCATTTCCTCATAATCTAAATAAATAACATTTAAAAAATTAATAACAAATAAACTTGAAATATAATTGAATAAATTTATTCATTTATTAATTATTATTGGTAATGTAAAATATTATTAAACTTTTAAATTATTATTATTATTGTAGTATTTTTTTTAATACTATATTTTATTAAAATTATTATTTTTTTTATTAAATTATTATTAAAATAAATTTTAGTTTTCTTACTTGTATTTTTTTTATAAATATATATTTTTACCAAAGTATTGGAATAAATGAAAATTTGTATATTTATTATTATTATTATTATTAATATTTTTATTATTATTTAATAAATAAAAAATTAAAAAAAATTTTTTTTTATTATTATTATTATCACTATTATTGTAATTATTATTCTTATTATTATTATAAAAAAATATTATAAAAAACAGTACTAATTTTTTTTCAACAAATATTAATTTTTTTTCTTTTAAATTTATTTATAAATATTTAAATAATATTTTTGAGACGGTCCTGAAGGATGATGATCAGAAAGCGCAACATCCTGGACGACAGTCCACATGCGCAGTACAATGAAAGACCATTGATTTACACATATATATGTATACGTATATATGGAGAGTCCTAAATAATACGACTTTCAATGAAATAGCTAATTTTTTTTTTTTTTGCTTTTAATTTACTTGGTTTCTTTTTCCCCCTTATTCTATAGAAATAAAAACACCTGTTGGAGAAAAATTTATTTTCCCACCAAAAAAAAATGCTTATGCATCTTACTTTATTATTATTCTATTCTTTATTAACTACGTTATTATTATATTAATTACGTTTTTCTATTCTATTCTATTATTTTAGGGGGGTGAAAATTAATTTTGATTTATATTTCATAATAATTAATTACGCAAAAAAAGGCAGTTGAAGCTTTTAATAGTTTATTTTTCCGCCACTAGATGGTGTCCAATTATTATTAATTCTCAATAGCATTGAAAAGAAAAGCATAAAACTAGGGACACGAACAAAACTAACATTTCATGTATCATTCTAATAAACTTTTTTTAAAATTGACAAATCTGAAGTAGACAATATACTTTTCCAAAACGTCTCGTGGTCATTAAACAAAGCAATTTCCGTAAAACTAGTATTTTTAATTGTGTTATAAAAATGGGCATTCCACCAGAAAGTGGTGGAAGTCTTCGAGCTCTTCTTCACAATGAGAACATTTATTTGATGAAGAAAGCTTGAATCTATCCTGATTAAAAAATAAATATGAGTAAAATTTATTGAGTCAAACGGACCTGCGCAAAGGCTCTCTTTCAAATCAGACCCAATCTATTCCTTAAATAAGGTTGTACAGAGTTATGCAAATCTAAGTGAGGACCCAAACCAGGAGACTCTCAGAGCGAGCTCGAGAGGATAAGTCCCTACTGGACAACAAAGTATTTGAAAAGTGCAATAAAATTTCCCCTGCATTATTAATTAATTGATCCAAATTGTTCGAGGACCAATAATCCCCGAGATCACCCTTCAAGAAAAACCTTTTTAATTGTGTAAACCAATTGAAACTGTTTTGACCAGAATCTGCATTAGAAATTTTCATTAATCTTAAAAGACACTGTCTTGGATACCGCGGATTAGACATTTTGAAAATTTTTTCTAACCAAGACAATGCTCATTTAAGTATCAAATAATAAATATTACTATTATGAATATTCTTTTACGTCCGAGTAGTATTAAGTAAAATAAATAAAATAAACGAAGACATTCGGACCAAATGTTATAAATATATTTCTCCAACGTTTCGAAATCTGATCTGTACGATTTCCTCTTCAGGAAGTGTATCAAATTACAATAATAAATTAAAAATTAATACTAACAAAAAGGAGTTCAGAAAATTAACAATATAAAATTCTTACCAAAATAAATAATAAAAATTAAAAATGAATTATTGATTTCATTATCACAATTCATTTCAGTCCATTTTTCATCCATCATAATTCACAAATTCATCAAGTACAATTAAAATAGAATAAACGTTGGAAAACAATAGAGATTGGAGTCATCGACTAAATAATAATTACTATTATTAATTATTATTATTTTTAATTATAATTATTAATTAATAATAATTATTTATTTATTATAATAATGTAACATAGATATTATCTTTTTACGAATGAGGTTATGTCTATTATTAATCCTTACTATGAAACGAGTAGATATTTAAATTATAGGCAAGAGCAAGACATTCTTATGTTATTTTCATGGACAGAAGAGAGAAGATAATTGCGTTAAATTTATATGCATTAGATAACAGAGAGAATCTAAAAATTTTCATTTTGAGTTTTATATTAACGTTATGATTAACTAAGTAAAGAAATATGTAAAAAATAAAATTTTTATGTTAGAATTGAAAAATTTATTTAATCCTTTGCAAATTAACTATCGTTATAATAATTCCTCATCATATATCATTTTTAAAATTTTTGGGATGCTGCGATTACAAATATGATGTTCGTTTTTAAAAATCCAAAATGGCTGATTTAATATATGGCGACCCAAAATTTAAAATTTCATCAGATTCGTTTAACAACAGTTTCGATGCTTGTATAGAAAGTGACGGAAAATAGATCTTTGGCACCCGATTATAATAACGAGCGGGAAAAAATTTATACTTGTTCGATGACGTCACGTGGCGAGTGGAAAACAATTTTTTTTTTTTCAATTAAAAATTAAATTTAAGGGTTTAAATTTTATTTGAACAATATTTATCGTGTTTCTATTTTACAGAGATTCAAAAGTAGGAAAAAAATGCGATTTTTTGCCACATTGCAGTTCGTTTTTACGTAAAATTGGATTGTAATGAAAAAATTATTTACTTAAAAATTCGGAGGTTAGAGAAAAATTTATATAAAAATCACCGCATTGTTTATTATCGCGGTAAAATTTTGTTAAAGTATTACGAATTTATTGTAAAAGACGTTTATTTTCTTTATAATAAGTAAAAAAATATAAGTAAATAAGTAAATAATTAAACACCAATAATACAATGATACTAATGACAATTGAGCAAGGACAGGTAAAAAACTGATGATTTTCTTTTCTATACCAGGGTTGTGTAGTATAAACAAAGAAAATGTTACATTATACGGTCCCAACCCTGCTACCTAAGTTTTTACTACTGAAATTTTACCTTCCCAATCCTGGTAAGAAGCAGGGAGGGTTTCATTTCACTCAACCGACAATTGTTCACATTTCAGATCTTATACATATTTTTTCCCCCTTAAATTAACTTCCCAATTCTGAGCTTCCTTTCTTTTTATTATATTAAAATTAAAAGCATTAAAAAACAACAATTAAAATTTTCTTTTTGCAAATTAAAAATTCTATTTTTTTAATAAATATAATTTACAATTAGGTAAAAAAAAAAAAAAGATATATATATAATCACTCGCGAGAAATATGTCATCCGAGGAAATATGTTCAGCATTAAAGTTAATGTTGCCTTCAACAAAGGTAAATATAAAAAAAGTTTTTTTAAAACAAATTTTTTTTCAATTATTTTAGGTTATAATTCTTACGACAAAAAAAAAGAAAATAAATAAAAATATGCAATTGTACTCGTTTATTTTTGTGTCAAATAATTTTTTTTTCAAATTTTTCGTTATTTAGAATTTTTGAAAATAATTTTCTTTTCTTTCCAAAGTTTAAAAATTTAAATTTATTTATTTAAATTTTAAATTATTATTTTTTTTTATTATTTCTATTGTTATTGTTTTGTTAGAATTTATTATTTTTATATGTGTAGCAATTTTGCATTATTAAAAAAAAAAAAGATGAAAAGAAAATACATAAAAAATTATTTTTTGCATTAAAAATTAATTTTCTAATTATTTCTATCGCTAATTTATTGTTATTATTATTATTATTAATTTTTTAATTTATATTATTATAATTATTATTCGATTTTTTTAATTTCTATTAATTTTTACATAATTTTTTTCTTTTTTTATCATTATTATTATTATTATTATTATTATTATTTATATTAATAACTGATTTTTTTATACAAAAAATGTAGAAATTAATTTTTGCATTTATTAAAAAAAAAAATATTATTTATAATAATAATTATTTTTTTTATTAAAAAAAATATAGAAATAAATTTTGCATTTATTTAAAAAAAAATTTTAAATAAAATAAAGGCAATAAGAAAATAAATTTTTTTCTATTTTTAATATGAAAATAATTTTTAGATTGAAGAGGAAATTGCCAAAGATGAATTAAAATTTCGAATTGATGTAATGAAAGCTGAAAATCATCATTTACAAACAAATTACGAGAATGAGAGGATACATTTAATTAAACTTATGAAATGTGACGATTACAAAAATCAGCAGAATTTTTTTAAAAAAGAGTAAATATTCCCTTTTTTATTAATTAATTAAAATTGAATATTTAATTGTTAATTATTTTCATCTTCAATTTTTTTTTATTTTTTTATATTTATTAAATTAACTTTTTAAATTTTTTTTATTAATTAATTAACATAAATTTTATAAACAAAAATTTTTAATTAAATAATCTATTATTAATTAAAAAAAAAAGGAAACACTAAATTATATTAAATAAAAACAAAAGAAATACTAAATTATATTTAAAAAAAAAAAATAGAAAATATTTTGTTAATTAGAAAAATAATTCTATATATATATTTTTTTTTTTTGCAGATTCAAAAAATTAATTGATTATTTGGACAATTTAAAACAAGACGTTATTGTTATTAAAGAACAATACAAATTTCACGGTGAAAAATTGTCTCTAGCATTTCAAAATAATGAGGAATTTTCTTCTCTATTAAAAATCGCAAAAGAAGAGGAGAAAAAAATTAATAAATTTCAATTGGAAAACAAAGCAGGAGGTTTTGAAATTTTATTTTTTTAATAAAATTAATTAATTTAAAATATAAAAATAAAAATTTTGCAAAAATTTATTTTATAAAATGAGACAAAAAAGGAAATGAACATAAAAAAATATTGTAAATATTTAGAAAAATTTACTTTTCATCTAAGTTCTTTTTTTTTCTCCACAGTTGAAACTGAAACATTGAATGAAATTCATCATCAAATGAATTCAATTGAGACACAAATTTTTTCACTTGAAAATATTTTAATTGAAAAAAAATGTAAAAATAGTGAATATGAAAATTTTAACATCGAATTGAAAGCAGATGAAAATAAGTAAATAATATCGAATTACTTTTTAATTAAATTTTTAAAAAAATTTGAAATAAAATTTATTTAATGTTAAATTTTCATTTTTTTTTTTTTTTTATGTAAAGAAACGACGAAAAAGAAAAAGTTAAAATTGTCACAGAAGAAGTGAATTGTCTAAAAAACGTGAAAGCAAAAAAACAAATTGAACATAAAAACGTAAGTGAATTAAATAATTTAATTTCAATTATTTTTTTCTAAATTTAAAAAGAATAAAATGATTTTTTTTTTTTTTTAAAGGAGGAACAAAAAATAAAATTACAAATTGACAATTTTAATTTGAAAATTGTTGAGAGAACAAAATATCAAAAAAAATTGAAAGAATTTGAAGAAATTTTAAAAACAATGGAGGAACAAAAAAAATCTAAATTAGACGATCGTCAGTAAGTTTAGTAAATTATTAATTTTTAAAAATAATTAATCATTTTATTATTATTATTAGGCATTTTATTTTTTATTTATTATTTTATTCTTTTAGAAGACGCCAAACTGAACAAACTGAAGAACTTTTGAAACTTGAAAAACCGCTAAAAATCTCCAAGGAAAAGGTAGAAAAAAAAAAAATTAATTATGAATATTTTTAAACTTCTAAAAAAAAATAAATAAAAATGTTTATTTTCTAATTATAGTTGGAAAATTTCGAACGAAATCACCAAGAATTGTGTAAAATAAATAATTTACATTATATTAATTTTAAAAATGCTAATGAATTAAAAATACAAGAAATTCTCTTGGAATGTGAAAAAAATAATAGTGAAAAAAATATAGTAGTCGAGGAAATGGAAAAAAATTTAGAAAATTTACATAAATGTAACAAAGAAAATTATTGTGAAAAGCGGAAAAAAATTGAAGAGAGGGAAAATATTTTTAAACTCAATAAAGAGAAAATTGACGAAGATAAACGAATTTTAGAAGAATTGCGTCAGGTACAAAAAAAACATTTTTTAAATTTAATTATTGATAATAATAATAATACTAAAATTAATAATAAAATTTAATAATTATTTACAGAAAAAAATGGTTGTGGAAAATAAAATTGCCATTGAAATTCAAGAGAAAGAAAAGAATTTGCAATTGAAGGAAAATGCAAATACAATGAAAAATGAATTAAAAATAAAAATTGAAGAATTAAATAATGAACTCTATCAGGAGATGGAGAAAATTTCATTATTGGAAAATATGAAAAAAGATAGTTTAGAAGTTGCTCAACATGTTGACGATGCATTGGAAAATAGAAAGAATTTAATTGCCGAAGAAGCGGAATTTAAAGAGGAAATTAAGGAAAAATTGAAATTCATTGAAAATCGTAATGTTGAAGAGACAAGAAATTTTCATGATAAAACACTTGCATTTGAAACTGAAATTTCACAAAATGCCAAACAAATTGCACAGGTTTCTTTTTTTTTTTTTTTTTTTTTTAATTTTCCTCTTTTTTTAGTGTGAAAAATTTTATTACAATTTTTTGATTTATTTTCCCAATTTTTTCTGAATGAAAGAAAATTAAGAAACTTTTTTAATTTATTTATTTAGAAATAAAAATTAGGCGGAATTTTTTTTTCAGATGAAACGTGAAATGAAAAAACGAGACGATAGAGAAATGAAAAAAGAACGATTACTTCGTGAAAAAATTGTTAAATTGCAAGAGGAAATAAAAAAAATGAAAATTTCTAATATGGAGAAAAAATCTGTATACGAATTTAATGAAATGGAGGTAATTACAAAAAAATAATTCATATTTCTTTATTTTTCAAAAAAAAAAAAAAAAAAAAAATTTCTTTTTTCCTTCTCAGACTGATGATTTATTAGAGGAGGCAAAAGCCGAGAGTCTTAAATCAATTTTAAAACCATTGTCAATGAAAAAATTGGAAACCCCAACATTAGATGTGAAATCGTCAAGAAAAGTTCAATTTGACATTGAATCTGATGAATCATCACTTTCACAATTTCCATTAACTCAAAAACAACAATCGCCTTAAAAAAAAACCAAAATTCCTCTTTATTTTTCGTATACAATTTTTATTTATTTTTTTCTCTATTTTAAAAATTATTTTCATTTTACTATAGTTTTAATTTCAAATAAAAAAAAAAACTAGTTTTATATGGAAAAAAATCCACTACAAAATTGTTTCTAAATTAAATTTAAAAAAAAAAATTGTATAATTGTTCAATGAAAATCAATTAAGATTAAAAAAAAAATAAAAATTTCCAATTTTATTTTTCTTTTTTTAGAAAAATTTAGAAAAAAAAAAGAAAAAAAAAAATAGAATTTTAGAAAAATTCTATTATATTTGTCAAAAAAAAAATTTAATAGCAAAAATATAAATTTTCAATTATTTTTAAGTGAAAAACTAAATTTTAAAATAAAGAAATTTTTTTTAAAAATTTAATTACAACTTTTTACTTACTTTTTAACTATTAATTGATTTTCATTAATTTTAAATAATTGTTTTTTTTTTCTCCATTTTTGAATAATATAATTAGTTTATTAAATTAGAAATTAATTAGAAAATTAAATTAGAAATTAATTGAAATTAAAATAAAAATTTTATTAAAATTGTTTCTCTTTTATTTCGTTGTGAAAAAAATTTTTTTTTTTTTTTTGCTTCTCCAATAGAGAAATTTGATTGAATCTTCTTATTGGTTTTTTTTTTTACGAACTTTGTTCATATTTCTCGAGATTATTGACAAATTCATGAAAAATAGAAATTGATTGTTGAAATTTTTCCAAATTTTCTAAATTTTCATTTATACCATCATTTTTAAATTGTTGTTCCTTATATAATGATGAATAATCCGGCGATGTTAATGGATCAAAATCATCGACTTTTTTTGGATCAAAGGGTAGACAAATTTTATTTGTTTTATTATGTGGACTAAATGGTAATCTCAATAAATGTCTCATATCCGTTGTAACGGGATCATCAATTCTTGGATAGAGAAATTGTAACTTTATTTCTTCAATTTCAAAATTATTTTCCCATTCGTTTGTTTCCTGCAAAAAAGGAAAGAAAAACCGTTTAAAAAAAAAAAACAATTGAATATAAAAAACTGAAAAAAATTGAATTTTTATCAAAAGAAAAGAAATAGAAAAAAAAAATTAAATTTTATTAGGGAAAAATAATAAAAATTAAAATTAGAAGAAAACGATAAAAATATATTAATATTGAATGAAATTATAAAATGTACCTTTATAAAATTTTCAAAAACAATCCATCTTTCTAAAGAGGTTTTATATTTTTGAAAAATCTCTCTCAAATTTTCCCTCATTTCTTTATTGCAATTTAATAAAAATGTTTTTAAAAATTTTTCAATACCCTCCTGTGTTCCAAGATAATTTTGCTCCACAATACAAATATCCACGAAATTTTCTTCAATTATTTCCAAAGCTCTTCTAAAATGAAAGTTAAAAAAAAAATTTTTTTTTTCAATTTTCAAAATTATTATCAAATATTTTTAATTCTACAAAAAATTTTAAATAATGAAAAATAATTTAATATTTAAAAAAAAAAGTGCTTCAAAATTATTTTTAGAAAGAAAATTAATTTCCAAATTATTTTATTTATTTAATAATTTAGAGGAAAATTTTTTTTAAATTCAAATTTTTATTTTATTAATTATAATCGTTTTTTTTTTAAATTAAATTTTTATTTTATTAAAAAATAATTGAAAAATTTTACTTAATTGAATGATGTGGTTTTCCATTTAATTTAACTCTTTTAGCATTAAATGCACCGGGTTTGACAATTTGCAAATAACAAGCAATTGCTCTTCTATCATCGATTCGTAATTTTCGCGCATTCTCATCACAAATCCAACAGTGAATTCCACGATTTCCCGAATAAATCCATAAAATATGTTTAAATGCAAAATCATCTACAAAAGAAAGAAAATTGATTTTTATTTTTTTTTTTTTGAAAAGTTAATTATAATTTAAATTATTAAAATTTTTTAATATTATTATTAATGTTACTTAGAAAAGAAAAAAAAAGTAGAAATACCCCTTAAGGTTGTATCTAAAATTTTACAAGCAGTTGCCATATATTTCCAACATTTTCGGCAAATTCCCGATTCACTGCAACAATTTCTCACATCTGTGTAATCGGAAATATCAATATCAAATATCATTTCCCTTTGTGTTACAAAAAAGTTGAATAATTTTTTTTCAACCAGACGAGGTCTAAAAAAGAATTTTTTTTTTTTTTTTTTGAAAAAAAAAGAAACAAAATTTACAAAAAAAGAAAAATATGAATTATAATTAAATTATAATTTATATATTATTTTTTCAATTAATTCATAATTATTTAATTTTTTTTTAAATTATTATTAATTCAAAATTATTAAATTATTATTAATTCATAATTATTAAAATTATTATTAAATAATTATTAAAACTTACGATAAATTATAAATTGCACCGACATCAATTCTTTTTGGACAAATTCGCTTTGCATTTATTTTCATTTCAAGTGCATTATGAAATGATGAATTTCTCGGTTTTGGCTTATCGTCTTTGCTTAATGTAAATTCACGGAGAGACAAAATGTATCCTAATAAAAATTAAATAAAAACCAGAACAAAGGAAAAAAAGGTAATTCATTTTTTTTTCTTTGTAAAAAAATTAATAAACATTTTTTTTTGGTTTTTTTAATTCAAAAAATACTTTTTGAATTTTTTTGTTATATTTTTTTTAATTTAAATTTATTTTCTAAAAATTTTCTAGTTTTTAAATTTTACACTTTTAAATTTTTTATGTTTTTTATTTAAAAATTATTTTTGAATTGTTTTTTTTTTTATTATAATTCAAAAATACTATTGAATTATTTTTTCATTTTTTGTTTTGTATAATTAAATAAAAAACTCTGATTTTTTTCGTTTTTTTTTAATTCAAAAATACATTGGAATTTTTTCGTTGTTTTTTAACTGAAAAATTCTTAAGAATTTTTTTGTTTTTTTTTTTTAAAAATCCAAAAATTGTTTTGGATTTTTTCTATTGTTTTTAAATTAAAAAAATACTTTTTGATTGTATAATTCAAAAAATTCTTTTTAATTTTTCTGCTACTTTTTAAATAAATAAAAAAAAAAACTTTCGTCCTTTTTATTTTTGAAATAAATATTGTAATAGTAAATAATAAATAAATTGTAAATAATATTTTAATAGTAAATAGTAAATAAACAGTAAATAATAAATAAATTGTAAATAATAAATAGTAAATAATAAATAAATAGTAAATTATACTGTATTTTTAAATTTTTTAAAAAATTATTTTTTAAATTAACAAAATACCAACATAAAAATTATAAAACTAAAATTAAATATAACCTCAAAATTTAAAAACGTTAGAAGTGTATTTAAAATTTTACGAATTTTCGACAAAAAAGCAAAAGAAAGAAAGAAAAAAAATTGTAAATTGTAAAAAAAAAATAATAAAAATAAATAATTTAATTATAATAATTATTTATAAGACATACCATTACAATAACTAAGCCATCGACAACAATCTTCAAAAGGAAAAAGATCCTGATAATAAAACAATCGTTGACCATCAGTCATTTTTAAAGATTTCTTTTCTTTTTTTTCAGTAATAACTATTCAATTACACATTATTTAAATTTTTTAAATTAATATATAATACTTTTACTTTTATTAAAACTTTGTTTTTGTTTACAAATTGCGTTACAACATTCAATCACAAGGGGGCGACAAAAAAAAAGTTTAACATGGAATATATTAAACAAAACAAAAAATACAACTAAATCTATAATTCAAATGGTAATAATATAAATTTTTTTTTTATCAATAATAATTGTAATAAATGCAAAAGAAATGAAAAAATAAATAAAAATTAAGTATTTATCGAAAGGGAATATTTGTCATGTTGGTAGAAGTGAAAAGTTTAGTATTTTTGTTATCTTGGATTGGCATTACTGCTCATTGCAAATGGCGACGTCAGATAGCAGGGATCTGTATTTAGCGCGAGTAAATTTAATATTGTATTTTTTTTTAATCAAAAAACGCTAATTATAAATATTTTATTGTAATTAACTTCAAATTTATCTAAATTATCGAAAATTTATAAAAGTTTTGTGGCAGGCTAAAAAATAATTAATATTTTTTGACACACGGAATCCTAGCCTAAAAAGTTTAAGCATGGCAAATGTTAAACATAAAAATACAGGTAAATTTATAATCCAAATCGTAATTAATATGACAAAATTTTTCTTTTATTAATTAAAAAAAATATAAAAATTGCAAAAAATTAATTACATAAGAATATTTGTTATGTTGGTAGAAGTGAAAAAGTTGATTATTTTGTTATCTTGGGTTGGCATTACTTGCTCATTGCAAATGGCGTCGTCAGAATGAAGAAGATTTGTATTTATAGCGCCAGTAAATTTAATCTTTTTAGTATTTTTTTTAATCAAAACGATAATTATACAAATATTTAGATAATTCAATACTGTTTTATATAAATATTCGAAAAATTCAAAAAAAAGTTTCATAGCAGCTGTGAAGAAAAAGAAGAAAAGGTAAAAAAAAAAATTTCGACAAGTATAACCTAAAAATTTTGGCATTTGAACTTGTTGCATATGTGATTTCACATATTGCCACCGCTAGGTGCATTTTTTTATAATAATAATAATATTAATAATATATATATATATGTCTACCTATATTACAAAAAGATATCGCCGCCAACGCCGCCGCCGCCGCCGCTGTTCCAAGACTCTGAATATAGCCGCAAGTCAAGAGAAGGGGGGTAGAAGAGAAGGGGGGGGGGACTTGAGGCTATATTCAGAGTCTTGAAACGATCTTAACCTTTAAATTTAGGGTAGGGGAGCGGAAGAGAGGAGGGGGAATGGGGGTTGGCGCGCGAAGCGCGCAGGGGGCATAGCCCCCTAGTATATATATATACATATATAAATATTAATAATAAATAATAAAAAATAGAAATAAATTTATTAATAAAATTGAAAATAAGAAACAAGTTTCTGGAAGTTTATTACAATTTTAAAAAATTCTAATTATGTTGGTAGAAATGTAATTGGTTGGTGTATTTTTTTCGCTTAGATTGGTATCACTGTTCACTACAGTGTGGTCATTGTTGAAAGCGCGGTTGAACGTTTTGTAGAATATTTCTTGAAAAACAAAATATCGTATATAATTTTTTTTAATGTGTGAATTACAATAATATTTCAATAATAATTAAGTTTAATTCGATTTAAATATTCAAGATTTTAACTCTCATTTGTGTTGGTAAATATAAAATTTATTTTTTTTAAATATTTTAACAAATTTCCTTTCTTGAAATTTAACCTAAAAATTATTACAAAACCAATTTCATATTTCAATTCCATTTTTGTTCTGATATTGTCCGCTTGTATTTTAGAGATAAAATTTAAAATCGTAAAATTTCATTAAAATGACAATTTTTATCGTATATATATATATATATATATATTTCCTATTTATTTACAAATCGAAAAAAAAGAAAGATCGAAAATATATATTTATGTGAATGAGTCTCTTTTTTTTGGAATAAATATTTTTTTCTGCTTTTGATAAGGAAAATGATTATTTTAATTTATTAATTATTAATCATTTACAAAATTTACAATTAAAAACATTTTTTTTATGAAAATTACATTAATTATTCTTAATACCAAAATATTATTTATAAAAATTTACAAAAAAAAAACAAAAATTTTTAAAAATCGTTTAAAAATATAATGAAATTAATTTCATTTTGAAAATCTTATTTTAAGGTTTTAAATAAAAAATAAATCTTATTTTAAGGTTTCAAATAAAATTTTAAGTAATCGATTAAAAAAAATAATGAAATTAATTTAATTTTGAAAATCTTATTTTAAGGTTTTAAATAAAAAAATAAAAAATAAATCTTATTTTAAGGTTTTAAATAAAAAAAATAAATAAAAAAATAAATAATAAATCTTATTTTAAGGTTTCAAATAAAAAAAATAAAATTTTAAAAAATCGATTAAAAAAAATAATGAAATTAATTTAATTTTGAAAATCTTATTTTAACGTTTTAAATAAAAAAATAAAAAATAAATTTTATTTTAAGGTTTCAAATAAAAAAACTAAAATTTTAATAAAAAAAATAAAAAATAAATCTTATTTTAAGGTTTCAAATAAAAAAACTAAAATTTTAATAAAAAAATAAAAAATAAATCTTATTTTAAGGTTTCAAATAAAAAAAAAAAAAAATTTTTTAAATCGATTAAAAAAATAATGAAATTAATTTCATTTTGAAAATCTTATTTTAAGGTTTTATGTAAAAAAATTGTTTCTCTATAGGTGTTCAATATATGAGAAGGATGGGTGTTTGTTGCGGAGCAGCTCCTGGAGGAGATCTTGCATTGCTGAGTCGCAGTTCAATGTAAATTGATCATTAATTTTTTTCCCCTTTAATTTTTGTATTTAAAAAAGAAAATTTTTTGATTTTACTAACAAAATTAATTCGATTAATTATTTAGAAATAACATTTTGTTAAAAAAAAATTTTTTTAATTACAAAACATGTTCCAGTACCACTAAATAATAATAATAATAATAATAATAATAATAATAATAATAATAATAATAATAATAATAATAATAATATATAATAATAATATAATGGTTGGTTAAAATTTGGTTCATTAAATAAATAAATAAATAAATAATATATAATAATAATAATATAATAATAATAATAATTACATTGAGAAAAAAATTTTTTTGATTCAAATAATCGGTTATTTGAATATTATCAAATAAATATATATTTACTTGAAGCAAATAATTTTTATTTGAATTAAATAAATTGTATTTGAACCAATAATTTCTATATTTGAAACAAATATTATTTAATTGGCTCAAATAAAAATTATTAGCATCAAGTAAATATTAATTTGATAATAATCAAGTAAACGAATATTTAAATCAAATAAATGTTTTTTTTTCAGTGTAATAGGGCGCATGACCCTATTATATATTTATATTCCATAAAAAAAATAATTAATTAATATTTTCATTTTTAAGATTTTTATTAGAAATAATATTTTTTTTTAGACGCGAATTTTCGAATTAAAATAAAAAAAAAAAAAAATTCACCGACTTTCAAATTTGTCCGAATTTTTTAAGAAGCCGAATTTTCATTTTTACCGAAATTAGAAAAATGACAGAACAAAAAAATTAACAAAAAAAGATTTTGGCGCAAATTTTCAAAAAATAATTTCTATTTTTTTTTTTTTTTTTTTGATTATTTCTAATTGGTAAATTTTTGAAAAATTTGCTTCAAAATCTTTCTGTCGATTAGCGTTTTTTCGGGAATTTTTATTTTGTAATTTTGTATAAATGAAAATTCGGCGTTTTCAAAAATTTTCAAAAATTAATATTTGGAAAATTAAAAATTCGATAGCTAAAAATTTTGTTAAATAAAAATTCGTATTAAAAAGAAAAAAATCTATGAAATTTTAATTCAATAATTAAAAATTTAAATCGAAAATTCGTCGAAAAAATAATTATTTCTAATAAAAAAAAAAAATAAAAATTTTTGAAAAGTAAAATTCTTGATTTTTATATGTCTAAATATAATGAATTTTTTTTTTTTTCAGTCAGTTGGTCCAGTAGCAGAGAAATTTTTGATTCAATGCAGTCATCGTATTTTTTACACGACGCAACAAATTTCCCTTACAGGTGAATCTTTTTTTTTCCAATATTTTTTTTCAGAAATACTAATTAGAACAAAAAAAAAATATATATTTAAAATTTTTGTCATAATATTTATATAACTATATAAATTTATTTATTTATTTTATATATTTATTTACTATATATAATTTATTTAAAAATTCTTTAGTATTAAAGGTATTATTTTTTTCATTGATCAGATCAATTCTGGAATAACTGATTTTTGAAATATCAAATTTATTTTTATAAATATTTATAAATTTACAAAATAAATTTTGATAATATTGAATAATTTTTATTATTTTATTTTACACATATATCAGGAATAGGGAAATAATTCATTAATTTTTTTTTCTTCAGGTAGTTGAACCAAAAGAAGAACGATTCATTTTTTATAAAAAGGAAATGCTGTCATCGTATCTCTAACACTAGGCACAAATTTCCCAATACAGGTAAATTTTTTTTTTTATAAATATAATTAATTTTGGAAAATTATAAAATCCTTTTGAAAATTTTCTTTATTTAATTTTTCCTTTATTTTATTAAAATTTCCTCTATAGTATTTTGTGAAAATAATTAATTAATTTAATTTATAATTGTTATAATTTTATTTTTTTTATTTTTTTCAGATCCATTTCAATTTTTTGCAAATACTTTGAAGAGACTAGGAAGGATGTGGAAGAAGAAAAGTGGCCCCAGCATACAGTTTTGTTTTCATAAATTTTTTTTTCTCTTTTCTTATTTTTTTAAAAAGATTTTTTTTTGTACTCCCAACCTTTCGCAGAAGTGCGATCAAGAAAAAAGGGATCTTTGGGAGTTGGCCTGAAGTGCTCGTGAAGTGGCGATGACGTTATTGCCCCAACGTTGGGATGATTCGCCGATCGATGAGTCGTTTTTTTATTTAACCCCTTCCCTGTTTAAAACTGTTTTTTTTTTTTGGTAAATTCAATTCAAAAATTAGTTTTTTAGATAATAATTTATAAATTTTTGCATTTTCTTGACTTTTTTAAAAACAAATAAATAGAAATAAAAATAATAAGAAAAATAATTAAAATTAATTAATAAAATTAGTAATAAAATATAATTAATAAAAAAAAATAATTCAAATAGAATATTAAAATTAAAAAAAAAAAAAACAGGGAAGGAATTCTGACAACATAGTGACAGCATTGACAAAATTTATTATTTTCTAGTATTTTTTTAGGGGTAATCTAAAAAAAAAAGCGTGTGATATTTTCGAAAAAGCCCCTGAAAAATTTGTAACACTTCTCACAATTCTAAAATATTACATGTTTTTATGGATTACTACCTTAATACTACGTAAATTAGTAATATTGCCAATGTTTTTTTTATATGTTATTTATTTAATGTATTTTGAATATTTTTAATAATTTTTTAATATTTTTAATATATTTAATATTTTTAATATTTCTAATATTTTGAATATTTTGAATATTTTGAATATTTTGAATATTTTGAATATAAGTATTTATTATTTTTAATATTTCTAATATTTTGAATATTTTTAATATTTCTAATATTTTGAATATTTTTAATATATTTAATATTTTTAATATTTTGTAATTTTTCTTATTCAAAATAATTTTCTTTCTATAAAAAAAAGTAATTTAAACTAAATTTATAAAAATTTTATTAACTTACTTCGAAAAAAAACTTTAATTAATCTTGTTAATAATTTTTCAATTTTCAAAAAAAATTAAAACTTAATGCATGTGAAATTAAAAACTATTTTTTTATCAATCGACTAATTAAATGTTTTTCTTTTCAGAAAAAATCGCTCAGGTGACGGTTGCGTCCCGGGACGTTAACCCTAGTGTAGGTCATTTTGCACCTGGGCGATATTAGTTTCGTTTCGATTATCGTTTTCGTTTTCGAATCTGTATATAGGTAGGGAATTCGGGAAAAATAGTAAAGAAATTTTTTTTTTTTTTTTTTAGTATAGGCGGGAAAAGTAGGAAAAATTTTTTTTTCGTTTTAAATATAGCTGTAGGTAGGGAAATCGGGTATTAAAAAAAAAATGTAAGTAAAAGAACAAGTAACTGGAGTACCAGTGAAAATTTTCTTTATTTCTATCTTTTATATATTTTTTTTTGTCACTATGTTGTCATTTTAATATTTTGTAAATATTCTGTAAATATTTTTTAAATGTTTTGTTTAATTAATCATTATTTTCAGTTGAATCATCGTGGTGAGGAAATAATATTTCTTTTTAATTTTGTAATAATAATTATCTATTTTTTCAGTAATGTTTAATTTATTATTAATATTTTTAATTTTAATTAATTAATTAATTTTAATCGAAAAAATTTTTAAATAGAAAAATTTAAGGTTATATATAATAAAATCGTATTCTTTACGTCAAGACGAATCGATCGATATATATATAAAGTATTCATTTGAGGTAAATTTAAAGAATTAATGAAAGATAAAAAATCAAAAATTCACATTTTGTCAATAAAATTTTGCTTTCTTCACGAGGAAGCAAATTTTTTTGCTGATCGTAAAGTGGAAGCAAAATGTTCATGTAAAGAACATCTGAATTTACAACTTTTTGGTAAGTTTTTTATGCTTTTGGATGCGTTTTTGGTGATAAAAAGAATCTTCCTCTACTCGGATCAGGGTGTCAATTTTTTTCTACACTTTTCGGTGTATTTTGTGCAAGAATATGCAATAAAATCGTTTGCCTAAGAAAAATTGAATTTTTTTTGGTAAGTTTTTTATGCTTTTGGATGCGTTTTTGGTGGTAAAAAGGGTCTTCCTCTACTCGGATCTGGGTAGGCTCATTTATCATATTAATATCTCAAATCTGACCAAATTTTTTTGAGTGTAGCTCATCATCCACTGGACCAATCAAAAAGTGCGCCATACATTTTTTGTTCGAGACTCCCGGGTTAAGACTTTGGCGGTATTCTCGATTAATTATCTCGCAAATTTAATTTTTCAAAATTTTTTAAAAAATTTATCTGAGTGTAGATCAGCATCCGCTGGACCAATCAAAAAGTGCGCCATACATTTTTTGTTCGAGACTCCCGGGTTAAGACTTTGGCGGTATTCTCGATTAATTATCTCGCAAATTTAATTTTTCAAAATTTTTTAAAAAATTTATCTGAGTGTAGATCAGCATCCGCTGGACCAATCAAAAAGTGAGCAATACATTTTTTGTTCGAGACTCCCGGGTTAAGACTTTAGCGGTATTCCCGATCAATTATCTCGCAAATTTAATTTTTCGAAAATTTTCAAAAAATTTATCTGAGTGTAGCTCAGCATCCGCTGGACCAATCAAAAAGTGCGCCATACATTTTTTGTTCAGAACTTTCTTCTAATCACTATGGTGGTATTCCCGAACGATTATCTCGCAAATTTAATTTTTCGAAAATTTTTCCAAAAACTTTTTGAGTGTAGCTCAGCATCCGCTGGACCAATCAAAAAGTGTGCCATACATTTTTTGTTCGAAACTTTTTCCCTATTTTTTTGGCGGTATTCCCGAGACATTATCTCGCAAATTTAATTTTTCGAAAATTTTTCCAAATTTGTTTTCTAGTGTAGCTCAGCATCCGCTGGACCAATCAAAAAGTGTGCTATACATTTTTTGTTCGCTACTTTTTGCTAAAGACTTTGGCGGTATTCCGGAACGATTACCTCTCAAATTTAATTTTTCTAAATTTTTTCCAAATTTGTTTTCTAGTGTAGCTCAGCATCCGCTGGACCAATCAAAAAGTGCGCTATACATTTTTTGTTCGCTACTTTTTGCTAAAGACTTTAGCGGTATTCCCGATCAATTATCTCGCAAATTAAATTTTTCGAAAATTTTCAAAAAATTTATCTGAGTGTAGCTCAGCATCCGCTGGACCAATCAAAAAGTGCGCCATACATTTTTTGTTCAGAACTTTCTTCTAATCAATATGGTGGTATTCCCGAACGATTATCTCGCAAATTTAATTTTTCGAAAATTTTTCCAAAATCTTTTTGAGTGTAGCTCAGCATCCGCTGGACCAATCAAAAAGTGTGCCATACATTTTTTGCTCGAAACTTTTTCCCTATTTTTTTGGCGGTATTCCCGAGACATTATCTCGCAAATTTAATTTTTCGAAAATTTTTCCAAAATCTTTTTGAGTGTAGCTCAGCATCCGCTGGACCAATCAAAAAGTGTGCCATACATTTTTTGTTCGAAACTTTTTCCCTATTTTTTTGGCGGTATTCCCGAGACATTATCTCTCAAATTTAATTTTTCTAAATTTTTTCCAAATTTGTTTTCTAGTGTAGCTCAGCATCCGCTGGACCAATCAAAAAGTGCGCTATACATTTTTTGTTCGCTACTTTTTGCTAAAGACTTTAGCGGTATTCCCGATCAATTATCTCGCAAATTAAATTTTTCGAAAATTTTCAAAAAATTTATCTGAGTGTAGCTCAGCATCCGCTGGACCAATCAAAAAGTGCGCCATACATTTTTTGTTCAGAACTTTCTTCTAATCACTATGGTGGTATTCCCGAACGATTATCTCGCAAATTTAATTTTTCGAAAATTTTTCCAAAAACTTTTTGAGTGTAGCTCAGCATCCGCTGGACCAATCAAAAAGTGTGCCATACATTTTTTGCTCGAAACTTTTTCCCTATTTTTTTGGCGGTATTCCCGAGACATTATCTCGCAAATTTAATTTTTCGAAAATTTTTCCAAAATCTTTTTGAGTGTAGCTCAGCATCCGCTGGACCAATCAAAAAGTGTGCCATACATTTTTTGCTCGAAACTTTCTTCTAATCACTATGGTGGTATTCCCGAACGATTATCTCGCAAATTTAATTTTTCGAAAATTTTTCCAAAAACTTTTTGAGTGTAGCTCAGCATCCGCTGGACCAATCAAAAAGTGTGCCATACATTTTTTGCTCGAAACTTTTTCCCTATTTTTTTGGCGGTATTCCCGAGACATTATCTCGCAAATTTAATTTTTCGAAAATTTTTCCAAAATCTTTTTGAGTGTAGCTCAGCATCCGCTGGACAAATCAAAAAGTGTGCCATACATTTTTTGTTCGAAACTTTTTCCCTATTTTTTTGGCGGTATTCCGGAGACATTATCTCGCAAATTTAATTTTTCGAAAATTTTTCCAAAATCTTTTTGAGTGTAGCTCAGCATCCGCTGGACCAATCAAAAAGTGTGCCATACATTTTTTGTTCGAAACTTTTTCCCTATTTTTTTGGCGGTATTCCCGAGACATTATCTCTCAAATTTAATTTTTCTAAATTTTTTCCAAATTTGTTTTCTAGTGTAGCTCAGCATCCGCTGGACCAATCAAAAAGTGCGCTATACATTTTTTGTTCAGAACTTTCTTCTAATCACTATGGTGGTATTCCCGAACGATTATCTCGCAAATTTAATTTTTCGAAAATTTTTCCAAAAACTTTTTGAGTGTAGCTCAGCATCCGCTGGACCAATCAAAAAGTGTGCCATACATTTTTTGCTCGAAACTTTTTCCCTATTTTTTTGGCGGTATTCCCGAGACATTATCTCGCAAATTTAATTTTTCGAAAATTTTTCCAAAATCTTTTTGAGTGTAGCTCAGCATCCGCTGGACCAATCAAAAAGTGTGCCATACATTTTTTGTTCGAAACTTTTTCCCTATTTTTTTGGCGGTATTCCCGAGACATTATCTCGCAAATTTAATTTTTCGAAAATTTTTCCAAATTTGTTTTCTAGTGTAGCTCAGCATCCGCTGGACCAATCAAAAAGTGTGCTATACATTTTTTGTTCGCTACTTTTTGCTAAAGACTTTGGCGGTATTCCGGAACGATTACCTCTCAAATTTAATTTTTCTAAATTTTTTCCAAATTTGTTTTCTAGTGTAGCTCAGCATCCGCTGGACCAATCAAAAAGTGCGCTATACATTTT